GTTGTGTTGTGTGTGTGTGTGGTGGTGTGTGTGTGTGGTGTAGTGTGTCGTGTGTGTGTGTGTGTGGTGTGTGTTTGACGCCTTGGTTCTGGGAGCTGAATGACATAAAGAAGAGCAGCATTATCACGATGATGGGTACCAGCTTACACACACACACACACCACACACACACACACACACACACACACACACCACACACAACACAACACACCACACACACACACACACACACCACACACACACACACACACACACACACACACACACACACACACACACAACAACCACACAACAACACACACACCACAAACACACACACACACACACACACACACACACACACACACACACACACACACACACACACACACAACACCACACACACACACACACACACACACACCACATCACACACACACACACACACACACACCACACACACAGACAACACACCCACACACACAAACACACACACACAACACACACACACACACACAACAACACACCCACACACCACACACCAACAACACAACACACACAAAAAACACACCACAACAACACAAACACAACACCACCAACACACAACACAACACAAACCAACACACAACAAACACACAACACCAATACACAAACACAAAACACAACACACAACACACCACACACACAACCACAAACACACACACACACACAACAAACACACACACACACACACACAACAAAACACACACAACACACACAAACACACAACACACAACCAAACACACCAAACAAAACACACAACAAACACAACACTCACAACACACACACACACACAAACACACACACCGACACACACAACACACACACAACACAAAACAACACACACACACAACACACCCAACACACACACAACACCAACACACACACACACACACACCACACACCGCACACACAACAACAACAACACAAAATACACCCAACAGACACAAAACACACCAACAACACATCTAACGACAACACAACACACACACCACAAACCACACACAACACACAAACACACCACACAACACCACAAACCTACAACACAGACACAAGAACACACAAACACACAGACACACACACACCACTACACACACACGACCAGAACACACCACACAGACACACACACACACAGACACACACAACACCAACCACAGACAACACACACACACACACACGCACCAACACACACCACAACCACACACACAGACAACATACAACACACGCAAGACACACAGACAACACATACAGCACACACCTAACACACAGACAAACACCAACACAGCACCAACACACACACAACCCACACACAGTACACACACCACACACACCCACAAAACACTCCAGACACACACACAACACACCACACACCACAAACACACAGACACACACACACAGACACCCACACAAACCCAGACCACATCCTCCATTACACATCACTATTCTCTGTTTATCATTCATCCAAACCCCTTTCACTCACTTGACATCGAAGACTATATTAACTAAATACTACCACAACAACAATTATCCCAAATTCTAGACTACACATTCGCCACATCACGACAAAGTCCAGACAAAAGAGCCTCATGTCCATTACTCTAATCAGTGTGAAAAATTTTATCCCCCATTCCTGAGTTGTGCACTTGAATGAATGAGCTTATTTTATACTAATAACGATCAACTATGACAGACAAATGAGAAAAAAAATTCTAGAAAATCACATTGTAGGATTTTTAATGAATTTATTTGCAAATTATGGTGGAAAATAATTATTTGGTCAATAACAAAAGTTTCTCAATACTTTGTTATATACCCTTTGTTGGCAATGACACAGGTCAAACGTTTTCTGTAAGTCTTCACAAGGTTTTCACACACTGTTGCTGGTATTTTGGCCCATTCCTCCATGCAGATCTCCTCTAGAGCAGTGATGTTTTGGGGCTGTCGCTGGGCAACACGGACTTTCAACTCCCTCCAAAGATTTTCTATAGGGTTGAGATCTGGAGACTGGCTAGGCCACTCCAGGACCTTGAAATGCTTCTTACGAAGCCACTCCTTCGTTGCCCGGGCGGTGTGTTTGGGATCATTGTCATGCTGAAAGACCCAGCCTCGTTTCATCTTCAATGCCCTTGCTGATGGAAGGAGGTTTTCACTTAAAATCTCACACGATACATGGCCCCATTCATTCTTTCCTTTACACGGATCAGTCGTCCTGGTCCCTTTGCAGAAAAACAGCCCCAAAGCATGATGTTTCCACCCCCATGCTTCACAGTAGGTATGGTGTTCTTTGGATGCAACTCAGCATTCTTTGTCCTCCAAACATGACGAGTTGAGTTTTTACCAAAAAGTTATATTTTGGTTTCATCTGACCATATGACATTCTCCCAATCCTCTTCTGGATCATCCAAATGCACTCTAGCAAACTTCAGACGGGCCTGGACATGTACTGGCTTAAGCAGGGGGACACGTCTGGCACTGCAGGATTTGAGTCCCTGGCGGCGTAGTGTGTTACTGATGGTAGGCTTTGTTACTTTGGTCCCAGCTCTCTGCAGGTCATTCACTAGGTCCCCCCGTGTGGTTCTGGGATTTTTGCTCACCGTTCTTGTGATCATTTTGACCCCACAGGGGTGAGATCTTGCGTGGAGCCCCAGATCGAGGGAGATTATCAGTGGTCTTGTATGTCTTCCATTTCCTAATAATTGCTCCCACAGTTGATTTCTTCAAACCAAGCTGCTTACCTATTGCAGATTCAGTCTTCCCAGCCATAGTGGAGTTTGGAGTGTGACTGTTTGAGGTTGTGGACAGGTGTCTTTTATACTGATAACAAGTTCAAACAGGTGCCATTAATACAGGTAACGAGTGGAGGACAGAGGAGCCTCTTAAAGAAGAAGTTACAGGTCTGTGAGAGCCAGAAATCTTGCTTGTTTGTAGGTGACCAAATACTTATTTTCCACCATAATTTGCAAATAAATAAATTAAAAATCCTACAATGTGATTTTCTGGAGAAAAAAAATCTCAATTTGTCTGTCATAGTTGACGTGTACCTATGATGAATATTACAGGCCTCTCTCATCTTTTTAAGTGGGAGAACTTGCACAATTGGTGGCTGACTAAATACATTTTTTCCCCCCCACTGTATCTGACTCTAAATATGTAGACTAAATGTATCTGACTCTAAATATGTAGACTAAAGGTATCTTAAACTGAAATAATCCACCAATGCCTTGTGAGATCCACTGGTAGGAGAGTCATATAAGTGGAAAGTGCAGTTGGAATGTAATATATAGTCCTCTGATGACCTCTTCTGGTTTGGTTTAGACACAGGAAGTGCTTTATCACTACAGTGTGTTGCCCTGACAGGAAGTGCTATTTCGCTACAGTGTGTTGCTTCCCGTGTAAAATTAAACCAGAAACACAATTTAAAGATAAACTATATATACAAATGTATGTGGACACCCCTTCAAATTAGTGGATTTGGCCATTTTAGCCACACCCATTGGCAGTAGAATGGCCTTACTGAAGCGCTCAGTGACTTTCAACGTGACACCGTCATAGGATGCCACCTTTCCAACAAGTCTCTGCACTGCTAGAGCTGCCCCGGTCAATTGTAAGTGCTGTTATTGTGAAGTGGAAACGTCTAGGAGCAACAACGGCTCAGCCGCGAAGTGGTAGGCCACACAAGCTCACAGAACGGGACCGCCGAGTGCTGAAGCATGTAGTGCGTAAAAATCGTCTGTCCTCGGTTGCAACACTCACTACGGAGTTCCAAACTGCCTCTGGAAGCATGACAATGCCCCCGTGCACAAAGCAAGGTCCATACAGAAATGGTTTGTCGAGATCGGTGTGGAAGAACTTGACTGGCCTGCACAGAGCCCTGACCTCAACCCCATCGAACACCTTTGGGATGAATTGGAACACCGACTGCGAGCCAGGCCTAATCGCCCAACATCAGTGCCCGACCTAACTAATGCTCTTGTGGCTGAATGGAAGCAAGTCCCCGCAGCAATGTTCCAACATCTAGTGGAACGCCTTCCCAGAAGAGTGGAGGCTGTTATAGCAGCAAAGGGGAGACCAACTCCATATTAATGCCCATGATTCTGGAATGAGATGTTCGACAAGCAGGTGTCCACATACTTTTGGTCATGTAGTGTAAATAAATAAAAACATTATACTTGTTTTATTTATCTTTCATCCATCCAACGCATATAAAATGTATCATCTGAAAAGAGAAGATCAGTGGTCTACTAAATGTAACATATTTTAATGAGGGTTTAATTAAACAGATATATATAACAAATATCCCAACGTTTTTGAGAGCATATTGAAAGAACACAAAAGTTACAAAAACAAAACAATTGAAAACTTGTCTCATGAACTTCTTTCAGTCCTATTGAAATAATACTGCAAGCTTTCCCCTTGGCCACTAGGGGGCACATGTGGACTCCCCAAGTACACCTTTACTGTATGAATGTATTACTTCGGAATGGCCTCGACATTTTTGGACATAACACTTTATATATATATTCATCACAAATGTCATAATACATATTTCTCTAGAGAGGTGAAACAACAGTGTTGGACTACAACAAATTCCAGTTACATCGCTCATCATTTAGCTCAATGAGCAAATCTGTATTACACTGTTTCATGCAAGAAATATTGAGATTTCTGCAATGAGCACATGGATTATTGCATGTATACATTTTCCTTTTTTTGCATTGAAAGGGTAGAACCCAAGATAATGTAATATTTCTCCCTTCGCTGGTGGATCGAGCCTTCATTTTGTCTCCAGTACAGACCCAATGGTGAAACAACTCTTCAAACATCTAACAAATATGAGAAGTACAAGAGAGCCTGTATGTGGCTACAAAATGTACAAAAGCTTGAGATCCATTATCTTGCTGTACATCTTGAGATATATTATCATGCTGTTGATCCCAAATGGAGAGATCACGATCACAATCAAAAACCACCTCATCGTTGTGGTGTTCTAGAATGTTCTAGAGTGTTCTACACCATGTTTTTGAGGTGTTCTAGAGTGTTGTAGAATGTTCTAGAGTGTTCTACAATCTACTAAACCATGTTGTTGTTGAGTTTGGTCCACTCAAAGATGTCCTGCTCACACACAATGTCTGAGTTGATGAGCAGGTAACGGTCCCCGACACAGAAGTGTTTCTGGCAGGCCGCGCATTTAAAACACTCCAGGTGGTAGACCTTGTCCCTCACACGCATGGTCATCTCAAACGCTCTGATCCTCTTCTCACAGCTAGCACACAGTCCGTCCTGTCCAAACAGCCTGGGAGGGAAAGGAAATAAAGGTTTATAACTTCCATGGATAAGCATTAATAAACCATTTATAAAGAGTTTACGTGCTATTGACTAATGAGTATTTTGTCATATTTGTATGAATTTCGTAAACATTTACAATCATTTAAATGTAAGTGTCACATGAGCAGGATTTCAATTACTTTTTGACTCTTGGGGGTGCCCAACATCAAAATATCTGACTTTGTTTTTTTTGGGGTGAGGGCATGTGGTAAATGTCAACCGTAATGTGTCTAACCTGAGGTAGTCTCTGCGGCAGAGCTTTCGTCCCAGTTTGTAGTAGAGCCTTCGGCCCACCTCTCCCAGCCTGCAGCCACACAGGTCACAGCTCAGACAGTCCTCGTGCCAGTACTTCTCTATGGCCTTCAGGAAGAACCTGTCCCCGATGCTCTGCTGGCACCCCCCACAGTTCAGGAGGGACGGGGGCATCTGTAACACCTCGTCCACAGGCTCCCTGGGTGGAACAAGGACAGGAGACAGATGAGGACATGGAAGAATAGAAGTCCAGAATAGAAGTGTGTGTGTGTGTGTGTGTGTGTGTGTGTGTGTGTGTGTGTGTGTGTGTGTGTGTGTGTGTGTGTGTGTGTGTGTGTGTGTGCGTGTGTGTGTGCGTGCGCGCGTGTGCGCGCTACCACATAATAACCACGTATTAGTAGTAGTTTCACCCACAGGAGGGAGCCATTGCCTTATTTACCAGTGAGTACAGCACATAATCTATATGACCAATGTTCATACAACCAAAATGTGTACTGACAAAAGGTCCTGGCGTACAGCAGCCCGTTTAACTAGACCTATATTGTTCTTTATAATGACCTTTCTCCCTTTTCTTGTTGCTTCCTTCTTCAATTTGTTCTTTCATGATGTTGGATTGAATTGGATTGAACTCTGAAGAAACTGCTACCGGCCTATTGCATTTGCCTATTTCCAAGCAATTATTGTAACTGAATAATAATACATTCTACAGCACTATGAAGTCAACATTGAAGGCACTGCCCGTCCTTGATTTGATCCTATTCTATTCTATTCTATTCTATCATATTCTATCATATTCTATTCTATTTCAAGGAAACAGACTACTAGTAGGTTACTTACTCGTTAGCCTCCATCGTCTTTCTTTCAATTGCAGATGACATTTTCCCAGTATGTAATACTTCTCAGGTTGACATCAAGTCGTTATAGATCCCGCTTCTCTTCTCTGTGATCCCGACTTGCAGGCTTTAAGGCTCGCGCCACGTTCACCGTTAAATATTCAGATCACGCGTATAAGGGTTACCGTCGAAGGGACACACACTGCACCTGCTCTGATATAATGTAGCCCTAGATGTCAGTTGCGCGCGGAATTAACCTTCATTTTATATGACATCATTTCCATCAGCAGCTCTAAATCCAACGAAGATCATCATGACATGTGACGCATTTTCAGTGATGGAGGCAATTCTGAACATTTCCTCAGGCAATTGAGAAACCGCGGTGAAATTCTGTGTAGCCTTCGTCTTTCATAAGTGATTTTTTTTAATTATTCCATTGCGACTGTCTACAGGTCTTCAAACCCTAGATGAATTAAAATCATCAAATGTTGCTTGATTGAGTCTCCCCCTCCTCCTCCTCTTCAGTGCGTATTTTTATGCCCTTCTTCCCTGGCGCGCTCTATTCTGAGAATGAACGTTACCGCGGTTCCGTTATTGAGCGGCTGCGTCGTGTTTTTAAATACCAGCTCGGCCCCCCTAGCTCGGTCTCTGGTTTCGTTTCACCCTTCCTGCTCACGACTGCTTGACAATGGGGGGAAATCGCTCTTAAAGCGACAGATAGCCAGCCAGAGCAGAGCTCGAGAGCTAAACTCCTTCATGCATGATTGCAGAAGTAAGTCGTGACAGAACATGGGGGTCACGAGTGTTGTATCGAGTTCAAGTGGTGTCTATATGTCTGAATGGCAACAAAAGTGACATGAATAACGCATTTTGGCCATTTGTATGACACAGTCTCACACACTGTGAGGTAGTCTTATTAGTGCTTGTTTATTTATTGTTTGTTTCTTCCTAATAGGTCAATTACCCAACAGTCAATAGAATATTAGGAACAATCATAACATAAATCCATGGCTCTGGGAACAGCAGCTCCTGGTGGGAAACCCCAGGTTGGATTATCATGAGCCTTGATGGTGCATCTATTGCCTTTTATTGAAAAACTTGTTGAAATGTGCCATGGTATGTGTTCCTTTATACACACAAATATTATATGGACAGTGCTTTCCCCGACAGTTTTATGATATCACATTTGAGGAATAACATTTGCATTATAGGAGCATTCGAGTTGGGTAACATGCATATAGTATTTCAGTCTGAAAAGGGATCTAAAACTCTCATGTCCAAAAAGCTTTATTTAACCAGCAGAGCGACTCGCCCTCCCTATCTCTCTCTGTATAATCTCTGTCCTTACACCCATCCTCAACCAACGACCTTAGGGAGCCTTCCTCTTATCTGCTGCCAGGGTCCCAGGCAAGGCTGACTGTTAGAGGGAGGGAGGGAGGGAGACACAGCAGTTGGACTGAGCTGAGAGATAAAGCACCTTGCCTACTGCAACACCGGTTTATACACACTTGTCAGGCATTAATAATCAATCATCATCAACCCCAGTTTCCACCATTACACTACCGCTGAGGGTGGGTGGGCTGAATACAGCCTGAGAGTGCCAGTGTGTTTGTGCTATCATGCCAACTCATTGTCACTCATTGTCATGACACTCAAGCCGGCACTCAGGCTAGGCCGAGTGCTACTCCTCCCCAGGCAGATGCTTGGTTAAATGTAGGTGGAACACAGCCTGTGGCTAGGTGCTGGTGTGAGGTTGGGTTGTGGGTTTTGTTGTGTAGGCCCAGTGGCCACACTGAGACAGAAACAGAGCTGAGAAGGTCCAGGAGCACAGCTATGCCTAGTACGGATCTAAAACAGAACAGCTTTGAGAGACAGAGAGAGTACTATTCAGAGTTACATGATCACAGAACCAAACACAATTCACAGTTGGTGAGTTCTAGAACACCAACCAGGACATTTGGTTAGACAGGAATCTTGGACCCTTTATTTTAACAGGGTTTTATCTTATCTGATGACAAGTGATTTGGAGAAGAACTTATGATGTCTACGAAAATAGATTTAACTCAATTTTGTGTATTTATTTCAGGGCAATTCCACAGTAACGGAATTACGCTTTGACTCTGTTTTTTTTTCACTTTAAAACGTATGCCAAACAAAAACCATTGAGTTAAAAGTTTAACGAACCATACAACTCTATGCACAAGGACTACTTTTAACAATTTCCTCTGAAAAATGTCAACAAACTAATTTAGTGGAAGAACTGTGCAGATGCAAACTTTGGTAATGGAATTACGGTAAAATCTCCCTCAGGTTTTTATGCAACCACGTTTTCCAAAAAACTGTTACATATCTGCTCTGAATTAAGATTCCTTTGACACCTAATTGGATGTGCTCCTGTTAACTTCACATGTTGGTGCTCATGGTTCCTTTTCGATAGAAATGGGGAATCATGATGCCCTTATCCAGAGAAACCAACAACACAAGGTTCATCATATACAGTGGCACAAAAAAAAGGTGCTATCTAGAACCTAAAACGGTTAATCGGCTGTCCCCATAGGAGAACCCTTGTTTATCCAGGTAGAACCCTTTCCACAGAAGGCTCTACCTGGAACCAAAAAGGGTTCTCCTATGGGGACAGCCGAATCCTTTTGAAAACCTTTTTCTACGAGTGTAGTCTAGTCTTCCAAGAAAGTCAGAGGCTTATATTAAGCAAGTCTTTGTGACAACGCAGTCAGCATATCTCCAACAGTTGGTGCTACTGTGAAGATGCATTCACCACTTAAACCATCCACCATTTCCTGTGGATTTGACAGGGCAGGCCTAGAAGGATGTGCAATAACTACAGTCAGCATGCTTCAGTTCTGCTGGTGCCGAGCCGAACTCGGCTCTGCACCAAACGAGTGTGCTCGTATACTTCCTTAAAAGACCTTTGCTTGAAAAACTAGAAAAAAAGCGGCAATAGTACTGTTTGTCCATTTTGAGACGCGGTAGCCAGTATAGACTTCATCAAAACAGTCAGAATTAATCTAAGATAACTCAAGAAATCTGTCATTAATGTTGCGCAATTTTACATCACGGAATAAGAGATGAGGCTTTCCTGGGAGGGGTTAGGCCTACTACTTCTGCTGACTAGCCCCATCGCTCCCTTGACTTCGCTGCCTGGTTGCAGATGGCTCGACCTGATAGGAGGCCGAAGAGGCTGATAGAGCGCTTGAGAAAATTGAGGGTCTGTACATTTGGCCCAGGAAACAGGAAACAGGAAACAGAAAGTGAGCCTTTCTTACTGCACAAGTCTAGGTAGTCCCTACCTGTTTCAGTCCATTTGGTGCTTAGAGTGGCAACCAGCAGTTGAAACAGTAACAAAATGGAATCCCTGCCACTGTTTCAGCAAAAGGCTGAGGGATGGGGCTGGAGAAATGTAACCACTCTCAAATTCATTGACGGAGCTACGGAGGCAAGGACTGACCATCATATGATATCAAAATTATAGTTTTAACCATGTTTTGAGGGTATGCAGTATTTGTTTACATTTACTTTGAGGCATTTAGAAGTTAATATTCTTCAAGAGTCAATGGGTGCATACTGTATCATTAATGTATTAGTCCATAAATGGATGAACATAACCCTGGTGTGTTGTTTTGGGTTCTGAGTTCATTAGGTGGGAAAGACCATATCAGTCCCCTAGGGTTTCCTTTACAGCTTCTAAAACAAATGGTATATGAAATGACAACAAGTTATACTACCATGGCAACATGACAACACATTAAAATATACTGTAACAATGTGGTAACATGACAACACGTTATAATATACTGTAAATACACAGTAACATGACAACACGTTATAATATACTGTAACTACACAGTAACATGACAACATGTTATAATATACTGTAACTACACAGTAACATGACAACACGTTATAATATACTGTAACTACACAGTAACATGACAACACATTATAATATACTGTAACTACGTGGTAACATGACAACACATTATAATATACTGTAACTACACAGTAACATGACAACACGTTATAATATACTGTAACTACGTGGTAACATGACAACACATTATAATATACTGTAACTACGTGGTAACATGACAACACATTATAATATACTGTAACTACACAGTAACATGACAACACATTATAATATACTGTAACTACACAGTAACATGACAACACGTTATAATATACTGTAACTACGTGGTAACATGACAACACATTATAATATACTGTAACTACACAGTAACATGACAAGACATTATAATATACTGTAACTACACAGTAACATGACAAGACATTATAATATACTGTAACTACACAGTAACATGACAACACATTATAATATACTGTAACTACGTGGTAACTTGACAACACATTATAATATACTGTAACTACACAGTAACACGACAACACGTTATAATATACTGTAACTACGTCGTAACACAGAAACAGATCTGGCTACCAAGCTATCTGAACATGATCTAGTACACAGGACTGTTATTCACCGGCCGAGGCTTTCGGTGTCTAACAGCAGAAAATGGGAAACAAACAGTTAAGAATCAAGGCTAGATGACCTTTTGGGAAGTGGTGTCACTCATGTCTGGCTTCCTGTTTTGGCTGTTTGGCATTGAGAGAGAGAGAGCGAGCATTATGGAGTTGAAGGCTGTCGGGTGGAATTTCAGGGCAGTGGAAAATATAATGGGTCGGGGCTATTAAGCGAACAGTAAAACGATTTGCCCGCTCTGTAATCATAACAGTGAACTATGTGTGAATACGGAGAATTAGGTCCAAGTTTGCTCATTGATCAGCATGAAAGTCTGGGGATTTTAGTCGGGTCACAACTAGCCTGGCACCAGATCTATGGTCACTGTCTCATAGAAGTTGGCAAGACAGCACAAACAGATCAGAGACCAGGCTAGGTCACAAAATGGACGACGTCCCATCCAGAACCTTGTAGACACCTAGAGATGTTTGTTGCCCAGTTTGACTTGTTTTCTTCTACTTAAAGCGTTAATCTACTGGCAAGACAAAGTGGTCATCCATCACAGACTGTCTAAATACACACACACACACACACACACACACACACACACACACAGGCCTATTTCCTGTAACTAGAGAGAGTGTGCTCTGGAGCAGCAATAGCCAGTCTCCTGCTTCCTGTCTATAATCTGAAGCAAAACCATTATTGGCTTATGTTGGAAGTTTAGTTCATCTCTCTTAGATGGAAATCCATCTGATTCATTCTGCCTTATTAGACTATTACCGTGGTGAACTTTGAGAGAATAGACCGGAGAGAGGAGAATCAAGTTGATGGTTTCACAAACTCCTGCTGATAAGGGCAGAGGTCAGAGCTTTAGCCAGGGTCGTGTTCGCCATGCATAAAATGGAAGAAAGCTGGCTGAAACAGGAGGGGACTACCTGGGCTTGTCCAATAAGAAACGCTCATTTTTCTTTATTGCTTGCCTTAATGGTAGTTTAGAAAATGGAGGACGAACAGGGCAGCCCTGCTGTCTAACTGAAACACAGCAGGCTGCCATGGAGCGGAAATGAGTCACTCGTTGAAAGGGAGCATCGCTTCCCTTAGGGATCCTCCCATAATCAGTATTGTCCCTTGAAAAAACAGCCTTTCAATGGGCCAGTGCAATCAAAGAGCAGCGCGGCCATGTTAACTGCTTCCTGAATAAGCCAAACAAAACTGATTCCACATTCTTAAGGACTCTGGTTAGTTTGCACTGTTGGAGCGTTTGACGTTAAATACATGCTCTAATTTGAAGAAAAAACATCTGAATGTATTTCAGATGGACGTGAATTTTCATAGGAATAGAGAAGACCCCATAGACAGTGAGATTGTTTTATCTCCATTTTTGCAAATGGAGGGGAATTGTTTGTATAGCTAACTGTCATGTATCCAAATTGTATAAATTCCAATAATGTCTGTCACGGTTGGGTTATGTAAAAGCTGAGGCATAATGTTCAATTCATCCAATAGAAGAAAGGCCCGATAGTCCAAATATGACTTGTGACCAAATAAGCTTGATATCACATTTAGTAACTGGTGTATGACCATTTTTACTAGCAGTAGTAGTATACATAAGGTTCAGGAACTCCACAATAATTTTGAGCTAATATTCAATAAGAGGTGCAGGAACTCAAGAAGTAGAACATTTGAGGTGCCGGTACTCATAAGCCAAAACAGGTCAGGAATCTTGGTCACCAATCTGGCAGTCATAGACCTACTGTAGCCTACAGTATACAGTACAGTTACTTTCCATGGCCAGTGTTGGAGAAGCTACTCTGAAAATATAGTTTACCAAGCTACCAATTACTTCACAATGGAAGACGTTAAGCTACACTAAAGCTACCCTTAAGAAAAATATAGTTTACTTAACTAAAGTTGCTTTTAAAAAGTAGTTCACTACATCCAAACTACTTAGTAATAAATTATCATATCTAAATCTGAAACGTCATAGACTACAAATTGCAAGGACAGATCACTCTGAAGTCAGATGTTAACAGAATGTGTAATTTAACTATTAAACACAAAAACTGTTTGAGAATTAGGCAGGTCTAATGCCTAAAAAGAAAGGAAATTCTTGCCTACTTTTCCCATATTTCCTCTTCTTCAGTAGTTAGCCACTGCATGGTAAAAAATAAATAAAAGTAATTAACTACTGAAACACTACCAACATTTGAATTTAGTTGCTCAACTATCACCAAGCTACTGCAAAATTAAATTAAATTACTAGTTGAACTACATGTAGTTGACTACCCCCAACACTGTCCATGGTACATTACTGCCCTCTGCTGATCTACAGTAAATACATCGATCTCATCACCAAGCTACTGTTCATCTTCGCATTCCAAATTGTCGATTTAACAATGTCACAAAGATGTAGCTAGCAATAGGCTATTGTAATCTGACTAACTTGAACCTAAATCAATGCATTGATTACAGACAATGTAGCAGCATTGTACAGTGCAAGAGCAAGAAATATACAGCGCACACACCATTTAGCTTGAACAAATCAATAGAAGTTATTTTGCAGATTTGGGGATTTTGGGCCAAGATTGGCTATGCGCATTTTTGCCCGTCTTAGAAATAGAAAATATGTTATGTACATTTTAATATTTCATCAACATACGAGTCTATAATTTGTATTTCGTAATTCAGTCTTTCACAAGCTGTCTCTATATCGTGTTTCTTCCCCAGTTGATTTGTTTAGATCAGATCAGTCTGGTTCGTCCAGTCTGGCATATTTTCGGGCAGCCGAAAAGGGACCTTCTTCTTTATAAAGAGTTTCTTCACCAATCAAACCGTCTCAGTTGTCGGTGAGGCCGGCTGGGCGGATCCTCAGTATTGAAAGAGAAAATAAGGCAACACAATAAAAACATCTTGGCTATTGCATTTCTCTCGTGAACAAGCTCCACCGTGGATACATAGAGCATAACGGTAAGCAAATATAAAGCTAGCCAAATGAACCTATTCGACAAGGAGGCGCAGCTATGCTAGCTAATGCTATGCTAACTTTAGCTAGCTGAGTTATCACATTGGACAGCGGGGTGCATCACGGCCAAAAATTGGCTAACGTTCCTTGTCACGCGATGATTAGCTAGCTAATGAGCCACAATAGCTAAAACATTTTTAGTAACTAGCTAACGTTACATCTACATTGCATAATCTAATCAATCTAACCTCTGATCATACGTGTGATTGAGCCTAGATTTAGCTCATGTCCGCTAGCTAGTTATCTGGGCAAGCTGCATACCCGCGTGCTGCATAGTTGGAAAATCTGCTAGCTAACGATAAGGATCTCGGTTCGGCCTTATGCGATGACAGGCTAATTAACGTTAGCTAGCTATCTTATCGTCTTGGTAAGATTGAGCTGCACGTGATAGCGAACTAGGTCAACTAATATTCTTGAAAGTGGTTAATAAGTTCATGAGCTATTTAAATGGTCCGGCGTGGGGCGGCTGGCAACACTTGATCTGTTCAATCAAGTGGACCATGTATGTAACTAACTAACGTTCGCTAACTTGTGGGCCTCAGATTTGTATTCCACCATGATGCCCATTGTTCTCCAATCCAAAGGCTAGATTACATTTGCAACTGTCATTCTCATTCCTCCCTCCTGGGCAAGTGACATGACTGAAATTATATGGACATAGATGGGCTTGCCACATAGATGGGCTTCCTTATGCTCAACCACAATTGAAAGTTGGCTACACCAGCAGTTATTTTGTTAGATGAGTAGGGCGGTTTCCTCGACACAGATTAAGCCTAGGCTAAAAAGCAAACTCAATGGAGTGTCCGGGTAAACTTTCAAATCCAGCCATTGTTCCTCGTCTCCACCTCCATAACTAACTTATTTGATGTGCCTCTTGCTTTCTCTATTCAGATGCCCTCAGCGATGAATGGCAACAGGACAGTGCAGTCGGCCAGCCCAGATGTGGGATCTGCTCCTGGACAGATCACCCTGGGCGGAGGGCAGTCCTCTGGGGCCCAGACCGAGGCAATGAAGCAGGTCCTGGGCGTCGTCGACAAGAAGGTCCGCAACATGGAGAAGAAAAAGGTACATCTCCTTTTATTTTGGGGGAATGAAACTTCCACAAATGTGATGAGGGTGAAAAGTGGCCCCTGGGGGGTATTGGAGTAATAAAGTTACTTGGCCTTTTGATACCTCCATCTCTGGTGCCACCTCCTGCCATTGTGCCTTTGAGCAATACACCTAACCTGGGGTGTAATCATTAGTTCAAAACGTTTTGTAACAAATGAGAGTTCAGGCCTTGAATTGTGTGGCCCCTTGTGTGGCCGTAATGCCCCCTAAAAAAATCCATGCCCTTGGGCTGAATATAATAATTAGAACTCCCTTCTCCTGGCTGACAATCGCAGTGCTCTGAAGCACCTCTCACTCACATGGATTTCTCAGATATCTCAATTCTTATTAGCCAATGCCTGTCACGTGATCGGGTTCTTTTCACACTCATCGCAGCTCCGAAGTAGGCTACAAGTGAAGATGGGCACATCAGCGGGGCCGCAACGGCACGTATCGTTATCGAATTCTGAGGCGCATATTGAAGATGTTAGAAGAACTGTACACATTTTACTTTTTGTCAGCCAACAAGATGAACAACGAACACCAAAAGTATTAGCCTATGTCAATCTACTATCCCCCCCATAGTACAAAAGTTATATTCTATTAATCAGCTTGTCGTTCTGTGCGAGAAATAAACATTCAAAAACAGACTCTGGGACAGTTGTCGGACGATAGACCCAATTAATACAACCACAAAGAAAAAAAAAAAAAAACGTTTAAAAGCAATGAGGCTGATGCAACTGATCAGAACGCTTAGCTTAAAATGTTGATAAACTATTAGGCTATTTCTTCACGTTAGAAAAGCAGCAATGCGCACATGGCAGTAGGCTATAAGGAATTAATGTTCCAAAATGCAATTGGCGGAAAACACTGTTCTCAAAAGCGCACTGCAAATGCGAGTGGTTTCAAATGACTGATGAAAAGGTCCTTTTTTTTTTAGAAAGAGGGAAGATTTTAAAAATGCAACAACTAGCATGGGTTGTTAATATGACTAGGATTGTCTTTGGTTGCTGGGACAACGAAAGACAGTTAAGAACATGCCATACTGGTTTCAGTGGCATATGAGGAAGTGTTTATAAAATAATCCACTTAACATTCCTATGGTTGGAACACGGTAAGACATGCCTCATAAAATGACAAAGAAATGTCCAGGTTTTAAACAATTACCTTTATGGTTTAAATAGTTTCAAAATGTTGACTGCCTCTGGGTTAATGGCCTTGGTGCCCTGCCAGATTGGGTACTTCCTGAAGGCCAAATGGTCTTGCCCCTAAAATCACAAAAAATTCCAGGCCTGCGAGAGTTTTTATTGGACAAATTCAGGTAGGTCTCTCCCCATTTGGTTCCTAGTGAATACACCCCTGCTCTTCGGCTGACCCGGCACTGCTTCCAGCGTCTTTTCTGTAGTGTCTGGGGGGGGACTTGGGAATTAAAAACAGACTGCAAACAGACACATTTCTGTTTTTGATGGACAACCGTTACTTGTATCGTATTCTATGGATGCATAGAGTGTGGCACTTTTGCTACTGCGCAGGCTCAGTGCCAACATTGTGCTGATCATGATGACCGCAGTTTCCTATCAGACCAAGATCAATCAAGGCGCATTGCGTTATGCAATTCCTTCCAACTGTGGAGGAGGAGGAGGAGAGGGGACTCTAAAATAGACACAGCTGTCCTAGCAAGTCATCCAGTACTGCAGACACAGCATCTTGCTTTTTTGCTCTCACTGCTTAGTTGCAACATCACCTCGTCTTCCCCGACATTACAGTTGCACAATCAAAGTGCAAGTCCCTCTCTGCAGACTGGCAGGCTAGCTCAGCTCAGTTTTCAAACTTTTCTTGCCCAGGGACCCCCACCCAGGCAAACCGACGACCCAGGGACCCCAATCATATGTTACAAGTAATCAACATTTTTAACAGTTCATTGGAAGAGAAAGTGTAAAATAACTTCAGCTGTGTTCGAATACTCATACTAACTGTACAATTTTGACTTAATTGAGGATGTAGTATGCTTATTGGTCATAGTATGGATATAGTTAGTATGCCAAAAGTTCCCGGATGTCGTACTACATTCGCCAAAATACAAGGTATACAAGCAGTGGACACTATTTCTGTGCTTTTAGGGCCCATAATGCGATTCTTCAGAAAATGGGCGTTGCTTCACCACATTTTCCGAATTTAAAAAAAAAAAAAATTTTGCAGCAGAAGTCCGAGAGCGGATACAAATTCATTGCTTTAACTAATTATGACAAGTGTTAAATGTTGAGCAGTGTAATGACTTTTCAATGAAGTTACATTACACGTTATGTTGGCTGACAATTTGTTAGCTACGCTATCCTTACGAACTGCATAGCATATCATTACAGCAGCAGTATGTTAGCTAGCTGTCTAACGTTAGTTGGCTACTAATACATTGAACTTGCCAGTACATTAACTATATGCTATCTAACTAACTACCCAATCTAACTACTACTTGATTATTCACATCATTCATAGCTTAGCTAAGTGGTATAGTCTTTGTGCATTCTCAATGGACATTGTTAATTCGGGTGTGTTCGTAAATTCGCTCTGGCTATCTACTCTGATTTCAGAGCACTCTCATCTGTGTGTGCCAGAGCGCAGAATAACTGATGAATTTACGAACGCTCGACACCCGTTGAATACAGCTGGTGTCAGTAAACATTGGCAAAAAAAGCGTAATTAAATTCTTGCCAGTAGCACAGTTAGTCACCAACACTCTGGATAACATGAAAACAGTCTAACCAGCTCTGCTAGGATGAGTAAAATGGTCAGAGTGAGGTGTTCTCTCATTTGTACTGGAAGTAGCTAGCAGGCTAGCCAACGTTAGCCAGTTAGCTTGAGTGCTTGACTGCCGTTGTCAGGTCAGAACGCTCGGATCAACCCTACTCCTCGGCCAGCGCGTCCAGTGTGTGCTCTGAATTTTACTAACGGACAATCTGACAACGCTCTGGATTTACGAACGCCCAGAGCGCACTCTGGCACTCCAGATTTGAATTTACGAACACACCCGAAGTCGTAAGATGTCCTAGCTAGTAATTTGTTATGCTAGCAAGAGGTAGCAACAGCATCAACTTCCGGTAGACAGGCGTAGCGCTAGTACACTCAACTGAAAGGATACCGTTAATTTACAGTATACTAAAATGAACTAATGGTATGTAGTGTGTGTATATACTCATTAAGTATAGAGTATGTTAGTATGGGTATTCGAACACAGCTATAATGGGCGGCAGGTAGCTTAGTGGTTAAGAGCGTTGTGCCAGTAACCGAAAGGTCGCAGGTTCTAATCCCTGAGCCCACTAGGTGAAAAATCTGTCGATGTGCCCTTGAGCAAGGCACTTAACCCTAATTGCTCCTGTAAGTCGCTCTGGATAAGAGCGTCTGCTAAATGACCTATTATTATTATTATTATTATTATAATCTACTAGCTAGAAAGCTATCTTGGCAGCGTATAGAGCATTTTGCAGTAAGGGGGGGGGGGGGGATTCTCCCTTACTGTCTAGCTTTTATTTGATTGTTAGTTTTCAAAGATGGTATTATAAAAAAAATATATATATTGTTCAATATCTTTTCTGCATGCTTTCTATCGTTTAAATTGACACTGAAACTGTTTTTCCAAATTACTACTTTCTATACAGGAAAATAGGTCCAATTACTGTAATTTCCTTCATATTGAAGGAGATTTTGGCAATGAAGCCATTTTTATCTGTTTCCCCAGAGTCAGATGAACAGGAACCGCGATCATGCTAACTGTACCTGTAGACTTCCAGGCATTGTGCTAACGCTAGTTAGCATTGGCTCATGAAACTACCTCGAACCTCTTTTTTTTTTATAGTGGACACAGAGACATAATGTTTTAATCCACAATGGTATTCTGTTGCAGCTAGCGATATTTAAATTATTTTTCACATCAAGAAATCCCAAAATATACCCCCCCCCCCCCCCCCCCCCCCAAAAAAAAAAAGTGTGGAGCCCCTGTAGTACCCGTATAGGGGCTCGGACCCCCGTTTGAAAACCCCTGCGCTAGCTAGCTACTGTAGCTAGCTATGCGTTGCCTTGTTTAGCAAGCTAGCTAGCAAGCCCGTTAGGCAGATAGACAGACAATTAATGATATGAGGCCTTATGTGTGAGTGTGTAGAATCAAACAAACGTTTAGCATCAAATATTTCATTTAATTTGGCAAAGAACAAGCAATGTAGGTTTTTCAAGCACATGGAAAAAACGTCTATGTTAGCTAACACTAGCATAATAACATGGCGACTGTCTGCAGGCAAAATTATGTTGGTTGGCGTTGATGTCTTGAAATGGCCAATAATAATCATTCTCCGTAATTGCATGAATTACCGGCCTAGTTGTAAAATCAACTTTATCTCAGTTTTAGCTAGGCTTTGTGTTCTCAGTGCGGCTGGTTGAGTAGGCAGGTTTGTGGTGTTTGCCAAAGCTGTTCTGAAGAAGTTGTCCATCTCATTAACTCACTAGCTGTCAAGCACACTTGTACTGTGTTGAGATAATATAATAATAATATAATATGCCATTTAGCAGACGCTTTTATCCAAAGCGACTTACAGTCATGCGTGCATACATTTTTTTTTTTTGTGTATGGGTGATCCCGGGGATGTATGGCGTTGCTCTGAGGTGTCAACAAACCTGTCATGTTTTTAGTGCAGCGTTACCGTGGTCCTCTGTAGTTCAATTGGTAGAGCATGGCGCTTGTAACGCCAGGGTAGTGGGTTCGATCCCCGGGACCACCATGCACGCATGACTGTAAGTCGCTTTGGATAAAAGCATCTGCTAAATGGCTTATTATTATTATTTACCATGGGATTAGCAACCTGGGGATGAGGTTACCATTGGATATCTGTTGCAGGTTTTGATGTTTTTTTGGCCCTAACCATACACTTTAAACAACAACAATCCCACCAATCAGGAATGAGGATCGGGGCATCGCTTCCCACCTAAACCAACAACCGAGACATTTCAGCTCTTATCTTCTACTATGTAGAATTTTTTAGTTTTTATTATTCCATTAGATCAACATACTGTAATGGTTTTAATCCTCTCTGTCTCACAGGGCAAGCTGGACGATTATCAAGCCAGGAAGGACAAAGGGGAGCGTCTCAAACCAGGACCAGCTGGTGGGTCAGCGTTCTACAACATACTGTATGAGTCCTATATCATCTGTAGTCACTGAGCTAACATTACTGGGTTGGTGTAAGCAAATTTTCCACTGCATTGCTTTCACCAATTAGCCGACGTCTTCAGTTCAGTCATTACTTCAAGGAAGCAGGAAGGAATGATGCAATACATTTTTAAGACTTTGAACAGTAGATGTTAGGCTTTCTGTGTTAACCAGTTTCCTCTGTCTCTCTCATCTCTGAAGGATGCCCTGACCAAGTATCAGGAAGTGACTAATAACCTGGAGTTTGCCAGGGAGTTACAGAAGAGCTTCCTCTCACTGGGGCAAGATGTAAGCAAGACTCTTAACCACTAAACTGCTCCAGGGGGCGCTGCTCTGTGGCTGACCCTAGATTCCAACCCCTTTGCGGGGTTGTGTGTATTTCTTCTTGGGAGGTTAAAATGGCAATGGATGACAGTGTTCTTCTAACACTGGAGCTCTGGAACTAGTGTCTCTGGTGTTACCCCTGTGTCCGTTTTGAATTGATATGGCCAGCACCACACACTGGAGGTATATTATATTTTCAGCTTATTCATTACTTTGTGGTCCGACTCCCTGCTCTTTGTCCGGCAAACGGTACCGGAGCATCGGCTCTCGGACCAACAGGCTCCCCAAGCCATCAGACTGCTACATAGCCAGACTTCTACATAGTCAATTAATGGTACTCTAACTATCTGCACTGACTATCTTGCACACTCACTAGACTCTCTCTCTCTCTCTATATATATATATATATATATATATATATATATATATATATATATATATATATATATATATATATATACATACACACACTCACTCACTCATACACACCTTACAAAACTCCCACACATTCACTACATAAAACACACGCAGACCAACACAACGCACATTCTCACACTTACTCATCATGTGCTGCTCTGTCCATTATTTTATTATCTATCCTGATGCCTAGTCACTTTGGTATTCGTACTTCCTGTATATAGCTCCTCATTGAGCTGGTACTTCCTGTATATAGCTTCATATTGAGTTGGTACTTCCTGTATATAGCTCCACATTGAGCTGGTACCTCCTGTATATAGCTCCACATTGAGCTGGTACCTCCTGTATATAGCTCCACATTGAGCTGGTACCTCCTGTATATAGCTCCACATTGAGCTGGTACCTCCTGTATATAGCTCCACATTGAGCTGGTACTTCCTGTATATAGCTCCACATTGATCTGGTACTCCCTTTATATAGCTCCATTCTTCTGTATTTTAACTCTGCGTTGTTGGGAAGGGCTCGTAAGCAAGAATTTCACAGTGAAGTCTGTACCAGTTGTATTTGGCACGTGACAAATAACATGTGATTTTCCCCTCCTCTCCAGATCCAGAGGGTGGTGAAGAAGGCAGTGAGGCGGGAGCAGCTCCAGAGGGAAGAGTCTGAGCAGAAGAGGCTGAAGACGATCCTGGAGGTCCAGTTCCTCCTGGACAGGCTGGGGGAGGACCGTGTGAGGCAGGAGCTGAGACAGGGGGCCGCCGGGGGAGGCACCCCCTCACTACTCACCGACACGGAGCTCACTGCCCTGGATGAGCTCTATAAACTAGTGGGACCAGAACCACACCAAAACACCAGGTTAGACAGTGGGGGGGGAAAAAAGATATGTGGAAGTTTTTTTTTTTTTTTTTACTATAACTTTCCTTTCTCATGAAAACATGTCTTGGTTTCAGGAGAGGGCTTCTCAGCCCATCTGTCGAATAATTTACATACCATGAACATGATGGTCAACTTCGATGTTTGTTTAGAAGCCGGGGTTTCACTTTTTTGACAACCCCGATTTGAGAGGGAATTGCAACTCAAGCCTTACCAAGACGTTTGTGTCAATGTTGCACTCAAAAGCAGAAGCATTGAACAGCTTGTGGGGGGGGTATCCATTTTTCTTTCTTTCACAAGTTCCAACTTTACCACTCCTATTGCAGGTTTACTGACCAGTACGAGGAGGCTTCTCAACACCTCATGGATCTGTTGGAGGGGAAGGACAAAGCTGTGGCAGGAACTACATGTAAGTCTAACCAACAACTGCCTGGGTGTGTGTTCAGTGACGTGAAAAGTTCTGAATGTTGCAGATAGAATGAATAGAGCTGAGAGGATTCTCTATTCTATCTGAATATCATTTCTGTTCTACACGATACCTTTTTGAATGTTCTGTGACTTTAGATCCTCATTAACAAGTCCCTCTGCAATTGTCTCTGTGTGGATGGAAGCTACTGGAAATAATGTAATTTAGATTTTTTTTTTATCTAAATGCCAGTGGTTGTCAAGTAGCATTGCTAGGTTTTTTTTTTGTCTTCCAGTTTGGCCATAGCCTGCTCCCAGATCAAATATATCTGGGACCAGGCTAGTTTGGCCAATGACTTTGTCTAATATTTGTTCTCTAGACAGGAAAGACATTTAATTATTCAGGAAGACTCGCAGTGTTATCATTTAGTTACCCAGTAGGTGGCGATATATTTGGCAGGATATTGTGGCAATGGCAAATGGCTTTATAACTCCATGATCAGAAAAGACTGAAAGGATTGTGTGTGTGTTTGGACTTGCCACTGGATGCTTAGAGCTGGCAGTAACTATCCACTGTCTGTCACACAACTCGTTGATGACAAGATGTCTCCTTCATATCCTGAGGTGTCTGCCTTCAGAGAGAGATCATGGAGACCTAAAGGCAACCCAGTTCCCGTCTGTTCTGTTATTTCCAAGGCCTTGTACAGTAGATATGAGGGTGCATTCTGCATGAGTAATCATGTCCTAGGGGGTATAGGCTATAAGAGTGTTGGTTTGAGATTGCTGAGGCCTTGGGGGACACAGTGACGTGTTCTGGTGTTGAATGCTGAGGGCTTCTCCATACTCAGCCAGGGCAGGATGCCCCATCCCTGTGGTCCAGTAGACGACTATAGGGCAGGGTGCCAGTTGCCCCGTCCCCTGTGGTCCAGTAGACGACTATAGGGCAGGGTGCCAGTTGCCCCATCCCCTGTGGTCCAGTAGACGACTATAGGGCAGGGTGCCCCGTCCCTGTGGTCCAGTAGACGACTATAGGGCAGGGTGCCAGTTGCCCCATCCCTGTGGTCCAGTAGACGACTATAGGGCAGGGTGCCAGTTGCCCCATCCCCTGTGGTCCAGTAGACGACTATAGGGCAGGGTGCCCCGTCCCTGTGGTCCAGTAGACGACTATAGGGCAGGGTGCCAGTTGCCCCATCCCCTGTGGTCCAGTAGACGACTATAGGGCAGGGTGCCCCGTCCCTGTGGTCCAGTAGACGACTATAGGGCAGGGTGCCAGTTGCCCCATCCCTGTGGTCCAGTAGACGACTATAGGGCAGGGTGCCAGTTGCCCCATCCCTGTGGTCCAGTAGACGACTATAGGGCAGGGTGCCAGTTGCCCCGTCCCCTGTGGTCCAGTAGACGACTATAGGGCAGGGTGCCCCGTCCCCTGTGGTCCAGTAGACGACGATAGGGCAGGGTGCTAGTCAGTGGCCCCAGTATCGCCTGCCCTGTGGTCCTCAAAAAGTTATACAGCTGTACCATTGAGAACATCTTGACTGGCTGCATCACTGCCTGGTACGGCAACTGCAAGGCACCTAACAACAAGGCGCTACAGAGGGTGACGTGGATATCCCAGTACATCACTGGGGCCGAGCTCCCTGCCACTCTGTCAGGCGGTGTGAAAGGAAGGCCCGGAAAATGTTTAAAGGGCAGACCATCATTTTGACTCATTGTCTAATGCTCCCGATTAGTTTTCCCAAGACGTTCCCCTTCAAGTGATCCCAATGGTTTAATCCAGAACAAATCTCTATAACCTAGCAGCAAGCTGCAGTTGCTTGTTGAGCCTGTGTGGAAGATGGAGAACAATAGTCAAGGTTCTACTGTTAGGGTAAGATGAAAGATGTATGCAGACTCCAGCCACTCAAGCCAAATAATGTTCTCTCTGCTTCCGCGAGGCAAGAAGTACCGATGCATCAAGTCCGGAACCTACAGGACCCTGAACAGCTTCTATCCCCCAAGCCATAACACTACTAAATAGCTAACAGTGGCTACGGGGCTTATCTCAGTTGACCTTGTATTTATTAATTTTTTGCACTGTCTCTCACAGGACCCTACACACACATATGCGTGCACACACACACACACCCACCCACATAGATTAAATATATGCAGTAGTGGTAACTGTGGGCTTTAATCTTACTCTTGAAATTTGTAATGGTAGAATGCCCAAGGTGCAATGTCGAAATTGGATAGTCCATCGTCATTGTCATGTCAGTCATTGCATTTGTAACTTGTCAGAAATGTCCAGATCAACTAGCCCATTTTAGCTAGTGTTTTTTTTTTTTTTTTTTTTTAGCCCATAGATTTTGTTGTAATGTTTGAGTCACTCAAATATCACATGAATACACATTAGACGTGACAAAACGTATAGAATTGCAAGAAAATGTGTTTTTAAAACTGCTAAATCTTCTCTGCACCCCATGACAAAATGTGTAGAATTGCAGGAAATAAGCTTTAAACCTGCTTTAAATGTTTTCTCCACCAACGAGGGGTGGGAACAGTGTGTGTCATGAACAGTGCTTGTGGCCATAGAAAGAGACATGGTGTGCAGGGGGGCACGGGATGTTCCTCAATGCTGGAAGGGGGCCCTGAGTGGAAAAAGTTTGGGAACTAATATATCTTGATTTAGATAAGTATTCAACCCCCTGAGTCAATGCATGTTAGAATCAGCTTTGGCAGTGATTACAGCTGTGAGTCTTTATGGGTAATTCTCTAAGAGCTTTGCATACCTGTACTGTACAATATTTGCCCATTTTTTTTATTATTTGAGAAATTCTTCAAGCTCTCAAGTTGGTTGTTGATCATTGCTAGACAGCCATTTTTATGTCTTGCCACAGATTTGGAAGTCAAAACTGTAATTAGGCCACTCTGGAACATTCAGCGTTGTCTTGGTAACCAACTCCAGCGTATATTTGGCCTTGTGTTTTAGGTTATTGTCCTGCTGAAAGGTGAATGTGAATGTGTCTGTGTCTGTTGGAAAGCAGACTGGATTCTGCCTGTGCTTAGTTCTATTCCGTTTCTTGTTATCCTAAAAAAAACACTCCCTAGTCCTTGCCAATGACAAGCATACCCATAATATGATGCAGCCACCACCATGCTTGAAAATATGAAGTGGTACTCAGTGACGTGTTGGATTTGCCCCCAAACATAACGCTTTGTGTTCAGGACAAAAAGTTAATTTCTTTGCCATATTTTTTGCAATATTACTTTAGTGCCTTATTCCAAACAGGATGCATGTTTTGTAATATTTTTGTTCTGTACATGCTTCTTCCTTTTCACTGTCATTTATGTTGTGGAGTACCTACAATGTTGTTAATCCATCCTCAGTTTTCTCCTATCACAGCCATTCAAACTCTGTAACTGTTTTTAAAATCACCAATGGCCTCATGGGGAAATCCCTGTGCAGTTTCCTTCCTCTCCGGCAACTGAGTTAGGAAGGACGCCTGTGTAGGGTCGCTCAGCCCCAGAAGTGACTCTTATCAACTGTATGCAAGAATTTGCTGTGTGTCGTCTTAGGAATTCAACATTCTCTGTGTCGTCTTGGGAATTCAACATTCTCTATGTTGGTCTTGCCAACCTTCATTGTCACACCTCTGAGAAGCAGAGTTTACATCATGTGGGTCCATCTGATTGGATGTTTAACTTTACAGTAATACTATTGGCCATCAACTCAGGTTTTGAATCCTAACAACTCAGATGCTTATAAAAGGGTCTTAGATTCATTGTTCTATCTCTTATGTGTTCCTGACCTGCTGTGGTGAGATTCTCTCTCTCTCTCTCCATGCTTAGAAAAATGCTTTGTACCTTTAAGTTTATGCCTTGTGAATCCATTCATTTTACAAAGTAATTAAATACACTTGTATTTAGAATTCTATTCTCAAACATTTCTTAATTGCCTACTACTGTAACTCAACTGTAGTCTTCTTGCATATTATTATTTATCTTATGGAGTCAGAAAGATGTCATTTAATGGGCTAATGGCTTAGTCTTAATTCGAGTCGCATGTGAGGTATTTATAATAGCATACTTTTTTTAAATATGACTGTCCACTACACCTGTATCTTAGTAGTAACTGGATGTATTGATACACCATCCAAAGTGTAATTAATAACTACACCATGCTCAAAGGGATATATATATTCAATGTCTGCTTTTTACCAATAGGTGCCCTACTTTGCGAGGCATTGGAAAACCTCCCTGGTCTTTGTGGTTGAATCTGTGTTTGAAATTCACTGCTCGACTGAGGGACCTTACAATTATCTTTGTGTGGGGTACAGAGATGAGGTAGTCAATTTTAAAAAATCACGTTAAAACACTATTGCACACAGTGAGTCCATGCAACTTTTGTAGACTTGTTAAGCAAATGTTTACTCCTGAACTTATATAGGATTGCCATAACAAAAGGGTTGAATACTTATTGACTCAAGACATTTCAGCTTTTCATTTTTAATTAATTTGTAAACCTTTCTAAAAAAAAAAAAAAAAAACACATTTTTTCCACTTTGACATTATGGGGTATTGTGTGTAGGCCAGTGACACACACAATCTCAATTTAATCCATTTTAAATTCAGGCTGTAACACAACAAAATGTGGAAAAAGTCCAAGGGGTGTGAATACTTTCTGAAGGCACTGTATGCTGCTGCTCTGGTTATCATATCCTGATCAGTGGAGGCTGCAGAGGGGATGGCTGCTCATAATGTCTGGAACGGCGCAAATGGAATGGCATCAAACACATGGAAACCATGTGTCTGACGTATTCGATTCCCCTTATTCCGCTCCAGCCATTACCACGAGCCCGTCCTCCCCAATGAAGGTCCCACCAACCGCCTGTGATTGGAACTGACCCTGTGTATATAGTTTCTAATTTCTCATGTTTTTCCTTTATTTCTATTTCTCGTGTTTTTTGTTCTACCTAATGTTATTTTTTAGTACTACATTGATAGATTACTGCATTGTTGGGTTTAGAGCTAGCAAGAAAGGCATTTCACTGTACTTGTGCACGTGACATTTTAAAAACTTGAAACCGTAGACGGCAATAGGGCAGGGTGCCAGTCAGTGGCCCCAGTATCGCCTGCCCTGTGGTCCCACACAGAGGACCCATTCACACACAACAGCACTTAACAGCTCTACAGCCATACAAGTGACCCCATTCTGCTTAACGAGGTTAGAAAACCCCCTCTCTCGGAGAACTGCCTTATAATAGGCAAGTTGTAGTGCATGGTTGAAACAAGCAGATTCTCCGGTTAGATTTGTCCACCATCATATTGCATTGTAGATGTCAACAGTGTAGTGCGTTTTTGAATGGAGTTCCTATTGTTGCTGATGGCTCCATCACAGTTTGGGTCGGCATGATGGTTTGAAAAGGGTATCAGATGGTCCCTTTTTGGCATCAGCAGGCACTGACTAGCCTAGTGGAAGTTTTGTACATTGACATGTTATGTTATGTTGTTTCTGATGGTATTCTCAATTCCCCTCCCCACCCAGACAAAGCGCTGAAGGACAGCCTGGACCGGGTGCTGCTAAGCGGGTACTTTGACCAAGCCCAGTCCCACCAGAATGGAGTGTGTGAGGAGGAAGAGCCGGCTGTAGTCAAGGAGACTGAGGAGCAGGCCGTCGACCCAGGTCAAAATCTTTGACGTTGGCGTTTAGAAATGTGCACTTTGAGTTATAAATTGACCAAGTTATATATTTTCTGTTTGCTAAACTGGTCTCTTTCCATCCTTAGAAATGTGCACTTTTTTTTTCTCCCCCATTTATTTTTAAATGACGAAGCAATACCCATGTAGCTGTTGGCGAAAGTACACTTTTTAGTTGGTTAATTTGTAATCAAGTTGTAAGCAATACAAATGTAGTTAGCTTAAGTGCACTTTTCAAATTTAATTTGTAAGCAATACAAAATGTAGCTGTTAGCTCCTTTTTTACGTTTGTTGTATTGTATTTTTGTTATTTTACCACCACTACAAATTTCCCAATTGGGACAATAAAGATGTTGGTTGATTTGAACATCTTTCGTCCTGCGTTCTGAAAGTTATTTTTCTCTTTCCAGAGGGAGAAATAGTTGACGATTACATAGAGCCCGTTGAGGTGGAAGCTACAGAGGTGAGAGGACTTCCTACCATGGGTCGTGTTGATTTGAGCCTCATTTTGGCCAAACTTAAAACGATAAAAAAAAATGCATTTTGTGACGGAAAACTAAAATGAGTGCTTCTTATTGGACAAATTTAATTCAGATAGTACCGATCAATTTCACTGATTTCAGAGCTTCATTTTTTCTTCCTTCCGTTTAGTACCTACTGAACACGACCCTTCTATTTTCAGTTCTTATGACTTGGCTAGTTTGTGACGGCGGCCATCTTGTTTCTGTGTTTCAGTTCGTTAACAGACAGTTCATTCCAGACACCACATACAGCAGCTGCGACAAGGAGCAAGGAGATGAGTGGACCTCAGAAACGGAGGTATGTATGTATGCTGCTCGCCTGTTCCTGACCACTACTTCCTACAGTCCACTGGTTTCCTCTCCTCACCATCACACAGCACTCACTAAAAGCTGATGGGTACCTTTTTTTCTTTGTTGATTAAAAAAATAAATGAATTATGAATGTTTTTCAGTTTAACAGACAGCATCTATTAAAGATCAGTGTCCATTGCACATGCCCCACACAAACTATATATATGTGTGTGTGTACAATTGAAGTCAGAGGTTTACATACACCTTAGCCAAATACATTTAAACTCAGTTTTTCACAATTCCTGACATTTTAATCCTAGTAGAAATTCCCTGTCTTAGGTCAGTTAGGATCACCACTTTATTTTAAGAATGTGAAATGTCAGAATAATAGTAGAGAATGATTTATTTCAGCTTTCATTTCTTTCATCACATTCCCAGTGGGTCAGAAGTTTACATGCACTCAATTAGTATTTGGTAGCATTGCCTTTCAATTGTTTAACTTGGGTCAGACGTTTCGGGTAGCCTTCCACAAGCTTCCCACAATAAGTTGGGTGAATTTTGGCCCATTCCTCCTGACAGAGCTGGTGTAACTGAGTCAGATTTGTAGGCCTCCTTGCTCGCACACGCTTTTTCAGTTCTGCCCACAAATGTTCTACAGGATTGAGGTCAGGGCTTTGTGATGGCCACTCCAATACCTTGACTTTGTTGTCCTTAAGCAAACCGGAGTCTGGCTTTTTTATGGCGGTTTTGGAGCAGTGGCTTCTTCCTTGCTGAGCGGCCTTTCAGGTTATGTCGATATAGGACTCGTTTTACTGTGGATATAGGTACTTTTGTACCTGTTTCCTCCAGCATCTTCACAAGGTCCTTTGCTGTTGTTCTGGGATTGATTTGCACTTTTCGCACCAAAGTACGTTCATTTCTAGGAGACAGAATGCGTCTCCTTCCTGAGCTGTATGACGGCTGCGTGGTCCCATGGTGTTTATACTTGCGTACTATTGTTTGTACAGATGAACGTGGTACCTTCAGGCGTTTGGAAATTGCTCCCAAGGATGAACCAGACTTGTGGAGGTCTACACACTTTTTTCTGAGGTCTTGGCTGATTTCTTTTGATTTTCCCATGTCAAGAAAAGAGGCACTGAGTTTGAAGGTAGGCCTTGAAATACATCCACAGGTACATCTCCAATTGACTCAAATGATGTCAATTAGCCTATCAGAAGCTTCTAAAGCCATGACATAATTTTCTGGAATTTTCCAAGCATTTTAAAGGCACAGTCAATTTAGTGTATGTAAACTTCTGACCCACTGGAATTGTGATACAGTGAAATAATCTGTCTGTAAACAATTGTTGGAAAAATGACTTGTGTCATGCACAAAGTAGATGTCCTAACCGACTTGCCAAAACTATAGTTTGTTAACACGACATTTGTGGAGTGGTAGAAAAACGAGTTTTAATGACTCCAACCTAAGTGTACGTAAACTTCCGACTTCAACTGTATATATGCGCGCTTTGAACATTGTATTTGGGAAAGTAGTCAGGTAGGTTGTAGACACGGTTGGGGAGTAACGGGGTTAACTGATTTTTGTAACTGATTACAAAAAACGAACTATTCCGTTACATTACCAGCTAAAATATTGTAATCAGATTATATACTTTTGAAAAACTAGATTACGTCTAGGATTACTTTTAAATTCAGAAAGGGTTTTTGCGCAAAAGTTGACACCTTTCTGTTTTCTCAATGACATTCAAATCAGCATTGAAAAAAAGGTGCACGTTAAGTTTGTTCCAACTGAGCGAATCTGACCACAAGCTAAAGGACTGATGACACCAAATGCGTTTGTATGGATCGCGGGAAAATCACAGGAATAGGGTTTTGTAAACTACAGTCCAAGCGATGTCTTCCAATGGTGCGACTGCTGTCGGCATCCAAACATTATCCCATTTTAAATAAAAGCTTGGAGGAACGCAGTGGCGTAGCCTACGGGCGATAAGGATATCACTTACTATTGATATCTACATAGCAGCAGTGTGACTCACGTCAATGCGCTTTCTCATTTGGGTATTGTTGTAGATGGCTGTTCATAAATGTGTGTTTATTTTAACCGATTAATGGTTGAACTGAATACGTTTTTAAATTGCCTATCAATCATTGTTTTTGCAGCCAGTGAAAAATGCGCTCTTGCAACAGCTGCATAGTGCGGAACCTAGCCTATGGAATAAAAGTTTGAGTTCCTCTCTTCTAAACTCCTCCATGGTATTTTGCTCCACACTGTCATAACCACGTTTAGTTTAAGAAGACAACGAGGGGGGATTTTATTGCTCAATTTAATTTGCGCCGATTCCAAAAAAAAAGAAAATGTCCATAGACCTAACGGACACATGTTGAAACTCTCGCAAATTATCGAGATATCAAAGGGTCACCAACAAAAAGGAAATAATAGCTCTAATGCAAATAGCGCCTCCTGGAGCTCAGTTGGTAGAGCATGGCGCTTGCAACGCCAGGGTTGTGGGTTCGATTCCCACGGGGGGCCAGTATAAAAAAAAAAAAATGTAAGCACTCACTATAACTAAGTCGCTCCAGAGCGTCTGCTAAATGACTAAAATGTAAAAATAGCACTTTTTGGTATTGCTCAAAGCATGCCATTCCATGAGGGCAGCATTTTATTTTTCAACTGGAAGCAGTAAGCCCAATCAGTCCTTAGTTTTTGAGTTATGCTCAGGTCAGACAATGTGGTCCTAATCTATTTCCAAGTCCCTATTTTTGAAGACCAAGGGTTATTAAATTAATTATGACTGGAAATCTGACACTTTTATTTTTTTATTTATTTTATGTAAAGATGTAGCCTAATGGTATTATCTGTAGTAGAAAGCAATGGGTTAGAAGAAGCCTACATCACCAACACAAAGTAAAATGCAACATTGATTTATGGTCATTTACATTTTAGTCATTTAGTAGACGCTCTTATCCAGAGCGACTTAGTTAGTGAGTGCATACATTTTCATACTGGCCCCCCCCGTGGGAATCGAACCCACAACCCTGACGTTGCAAGCGCCGTGCTCTACCAACTGAGCTACATGGGGATTACAATTTTGGACCGGTAACTAACGGATTACATTTAGAAAGTTCCCTACCCAGGTTGTAGAGTGCCAGTTACAGGTCATCCTAGGGTTGCAAAATTCTGAAAATGTTCCCTTTTTTTTAAAGAGATCTTGTTTATAGGCCGGAAAGTTTCCGGAGATTTGCAACCCCAGGTCCTCCCGGGTTACCATGACAGCTACTGACCATACTCCTCCCTTTTCAGGAGGGGAGTGCCATCCTGCAACAGCCTGTACAGTCGGCCCCTCCCCCCATCGTCACGGAGGCCCAACCCCTGAACGGGGCCGCACCCACAGGCACGCCCCCTGCAAACTCGGTGGTCAGGAAGCAGGTGGTCCAGGACCTCTTGTCACAGATGCAGGGGCCTTACAACTTCATGCAGGTGAGGATTTGAACAACAACCCTCTTTTTTTTAAGACTGTTATCCCACAGAGCTAAAGCCTAGGCATTAGCTCTGACTGGTGACTGGTCACAGATGCAGGGGCCTTACAACTCCATGCAGGTAAAGAAGCTGAGCTGCCTTCAAGACTATTCAGATTGAGAACTTTTAATGTCCTCGAGCCAATTTATTTTGCAGCAGTCAAAGTGCATACAGACAACATCACATATTAAAATGTAAAACACAACAGGAAAAAAAGCAAGGGATATTTACAAAAAGTCGGCAGGATCGTGCAACGTTCTTTAAAATTAGGGCCGGGACCATGCCAGTATCACCAGACTCGTTAGTATCGTGGCGAGGAAACAAAACACAAAGCCGATTTTAACATCTTTAGGAAAACAGCCCTAATGTTGCAATCAAACATCATTATGTTGTCATCCAGAGTCACATTTTATTTTCTAAGCTATAGCACACCATATTTTACATACAGCAGGTTTTTAAAGGACCAAAGAGTTTGGTCTGCTTCATGTTTTCATTTTTGCCGTGTAAAAAAATATTGCTATACCGGTATCGTCACAGCCCTACTTAAAATGTCTTGAGTAAGGCTGGGCCTATCTAAATGTGCATGTCAAAGTGCTTAGTGATTTTAAAGTGCATATTCATCCAACACCTTGTTCATTTGAAGTATTGCACTGGGAATAAAATAATTTCTGGCCTTTGTTGGTTTTTACTTTTGGATGCCTGTACCTGTAGCCAGAGGGGAGTGGGTGGGAAGAGTCTGACGTAAAAAAATATATACATGTATTTCAATATACAAATATCACAAGACCAAATGAAAGTAAATAATAAATCAAACCAGTGAGACAGAAGTATATTACACTATAGACAAGTTACATTTTGACAAATACTGTAGACACTGATTTGCTATTTATACCTTTTCAGGGATGTTATATAATCAATTATAAAAAAATATTGAGAAGGTTTTTTTTATTTTACCGTGAACTTCATTTTATGGATGCCTTTTCCAAACAAAAAGTAACATTCACAATGTATTGGCAGTCACTGTGCGTGTATGTCAAATAAAAAATAACATTTGGTAATGCTTACAGGATTGCCCATCTTATCGCTAATATAGCTTGCCTTTTACAAGACCCTGGCGCTTGCCTACGGAGCAGCAAGGTGAACTGCGCCTCCTTACCTTCAGGCTATGCTCAAACCCTACATCCCAACCATCTCTGGTCTCTTGGCCCTCCCACCCCTACGAGAGGGAAGCCCCCGCTCAGCCCAGTCAAAGCTCTTCTCTGTCCTGGCACCCCAATGGTGGAACAAGTCCCTGCCCATCTTCTTCGGAAAACGTCTGAAACCTCTCTTTAACGAGTATCCCCCGAAAAGGCACTGGTCTTCTCATACTAGCACTGACTTCGATGGAAAATGAACTTGATATGATTGTGACGTGTTGTCTCACCTAGCCATCTTAAGATGAATGCACGAATTGTAAGTCACTCTGGATAAGAGCGTCTGCTAAATTACTAAAATGTAAATGTGGTCCGCTGTAGCTCAATTTTACATTTGACATTTTTGTCATTTAGCAGACGCTCTTATCCAGAGCGACTTACAAATTATGGTAGAGCATGGCGCTTGTAACGCCAGGGTAGTGGGTTCAATCCCCCGGACCACCCATACGTAAAAATGTATGCACACATGACTGTAAGTCGCTTTGGATAAAAGCGTCTGCTAAATTGCTTATTATTATTATTATTATTATATATTTTCATATCTGTCCAATATTTCACTATGCAAACAATCACAGAATAAATGCTCTATAGTCTAATTTTCCAATCCACTAAAGCTGCATCCATTTTCTACTTTAATTGAAAATTTAGAAATAAGACTATCACAAGGAAAACATCTGTGAAGGATCTTGTAAGAGACTTCCCTCACTTTACTAGTGATCAAATGTATGTGGATTAGTCCATACATGCTGCCATTTCACATCCAAACGAAGATGCCCATTGGAAAACTTCCTGTTAATAATTTCTGACAAAAGTGTTGTAAAATGTCTAATCTATTGATGCCATTTTTAATTTCTACACTCGCTAACTTGGTGCATGTAATGAAAAGCTTGATCGATCCTTCAGTAAATATGGAGCATTCATTAAAATGTCATTCTTTACACAACGTAGTTAGTTATTTGGCTAATAATTCATTGCAAGTATAAAGATTACCATTTATGATGTTATTGGCAAACCAATTATCTAATATCACTGTTATTAAATACCTCTTAATCCTCTTCACCTTTTTGTAGGCGGATTAAACAGCGTAAAATCTAAAACATTAAGACCACCATCACACATCTTGTTGATACACTTCCTGATCTTGTCTTATTTTTCCAAATGAAATGGAGTAATCATTTTCGAGAGTGGTACACGTATACTTGGTAAAAAAGATAAGAAGCTCGAGGTAGCTTAGTGGTTAAGAGCGTTGTGCCAGTAACCGAAAGGTCGCTGGTTCTAATCCCCGAGCCGACTAGGTGAAAAATCTGCCGATGTGCCCTTGAGCAAGGCACTTAACCCTAATTGCTCCTGTAAGTCGCTCTGGATAAGAGCGTCTGCTAAATGACTAAAATGTAAAAAAAAAAAAAAAAAAAAAAAAACTTCTTCCTTTGACAGGAACTCTACCCTGAAGAGAGATCTCTTGTCAAGCATTAATTACATCTATTTTTATAGATTTAGTTTCCTCTCCTTCTGCAGGGCTCTGTACAGATGACAGGTCTTCTTGTTGCTGCCCCATGATTTTACCTCAATCTGACTTTTTTGGGGGGGTGAATTTAGTTTCTGAACCAGCAGGTCAGGCAGTAGCATAGGATACTTTCCACCAATGACTTATGATAGTGCAGTCAACATTAAAGTTACATTTCTGGAGGAAATACAATCCCTGTTGCCCTTTATTTAAAAGTGTCAGTACACTGATCCCAGGACAGCCCGAGGTATTTTGTAGTCCTCTGTGATTTCTATAGGCTCGCCTTTCAGTATTGATGTTTTGCGTGGTGGAGTTGCGTCAAGTCGATCACCATCTCCTTTATTTCAAATCAAATTGTATTTGTCACATACACGTGTTTTAGCAGATGTTTTTTGATATGTTCCGTGTTAGATGGGACGACGACACACCAGGCCGCGAAATCGTACAGTCTCATCCCCTTCGACTATGTTAGGCTGCTGAGCTAAAGCCTAGGCATTCTCTCCGTTAAGCGCTCAGCTGCCCTCTAGCAGGTAAAACTGTGGTGCAGATTAACGGATGGGCATTTGAAATAATTGTCTTATTCGAGTAATATCAACAACAACAAAAATTTGATATCTGGAAAGTCAACATTTTGCTCTTGACTCTTGACCAATTAGAATGACGCAAACGCTGCTTTTCTTCGTAGATTGGCTAAACGCAACAGCAAAAGAGATCTGATTTTCGCCATGATAGAACTGATTTCTGTTACAAAAAGCTTTTTCGGTGAGTGTTTTGCATTGATCTGTGTCGGGTATTGTGGAAACTCCGTTCGATGAGCGCCTGTAATTGCTATTTGAAGTGGGGAAAATAACACGCTGATATCCAGATATTCGATTTAACCGTGCCCATCCCTAGTACAGATATGGAGCATTGCACCAAGTCTTTCCTGATTCCTTCTAGCTGGTTGACTGGTACAGAGATGGAGCATTGTGCTTCTAGCTGGTTGACTGTGGTACAGAGATGGAGCATTGTGCTTCTAGCTGGTTGACTGGTACAGAGATGGAGCATTGTGCTTCTAGCTGGTTGACTGTGGTACAGACATGGAGCATTGTGCTTCTAGCTGGTTGACTGTGATACAGAGATGGAGCATTGTGCTTCTAGCTGGTTGACTGTGATACAGAGATGGAGCATTGTGCTTCTAGCTGGTTGACTGTGGTACAGAGATGGAACATTGTGCTTCTAGCTGGTTGACTGTGGTACAGAGATGGAGCATTGTGCTTCTAGCTGGTTGACTGTGATACAGAGATGGAACATTGTGCTTCTAGCTGGTTGACTGTGGTACAGAGATGGAGCATTGTGCTTCTAGCTGGTTGACTGTGGTACAGAGATGGAGCATTGTGCTTCTAGCTGGTTGACTGTGGTACAGAGATGGAACATTGTGCTTCTAGCTGGTTGACTGTGGTACAGAGATGGAGCATTGTGCTTCTAGCTGGTTGACTGGTACAGAGATGGAACATTGTGCTTCTAGCTGGTTGACTGGTACAGAGATGGAACATTGCTTCTAGCTGGTTGACTGTGGTACAGAGATGGAACATTGTGCTTCTAGCTGGTTGACTGGTACAGAGATGGAGCATTGTGCTTCTAGCTGGTTGACTGTGGTACAGAGATGGAGCATTGTGCTTCTAGCTGGTTGACTGTGGTACAGAGATGGAACATTGTGCTTCTAGCTGGTTGACTGTGGTACAGAGATGGAGCATTGTGCTTCTAGCTGGTTGACTGGTACAGAGATGGAACATTGTGCTTCTAGCTGGTTGACTGGTACAGAGATGGAACATTGCTTCTAGCTGGTTGACTGTGGTACAGAGATGGAACATTGTGCTTCTAGCTGGTTGACTGGTACAGAGATGGAGCATTGTGCTTCTAGCTGGTTGACTGTGGTACAGAGATGGAGCATTGTGCTTCTAGCTGGTTGACTGTGGTACAGAGATGGAGCATTGTGCTTCTAGCTGGTTGACTGTGGTACAGAGATGGAACATTGTGCTTCTAGCTGGTTGACTGTGGTACAGAGATGGAACATTGTGCTTCTAGCTGGTTGACTGGTACAGAGATGGAGCATTGTGTCATGTCTTGATTCCTTATGTCCTTGATCCTTTGCCGCCTCCTAAAAAAAAAATCCATTGGAGGAGAAGGCCTGAGGTTCCTCTCTTTGGACGTGATGATCAAGGAATCAAAGATGTGAGGAATCAAGGAAGCATTTTTGATATTCAGCCATAACTGTTTTATTCTTCCTGCTTCAGGACTCTATGCTGGAGTTTGATGGGCAGCCCATCGACCCAGCCATCGTATCAGCCCAGCATATCGACCCAGCCATCGTGTCAGCCCAGCATATCGACCCAGCCATCGTGTCAGCCCAGCATATCGACCCAGCCATCGTGTCAGCCCAGCACATCGACCCAGCCATCGTGTCAGCCCAGCACATCGACCCAGCCATCGTGTCAGCCCAGCATATCGACCCAGCCATCATGTCAGCCCAGCATATCGACCCAGCCATCGTGTCAGCCCAGCCCATGAAGGCTCCAGCACAGAACATGGACCTGCCTCAGATGGGCTGTCCCCCAGTCCACCCAGAATCACGCCTCTCACCACACAACACTGTTCCCCTACAGCCTGAGCCCACGCAAGTGAGTACTGGGGTTACATTACATTTACATTTAAGTCATTTAGCAGACGCTCTTATCCAGGACGACTTACAGGAGCAATTAGGGTTAAGTGCCTTGCTCAAGGGCACATCGGCAGATTTTTTTACCTAGTCGGCTCGGGGATTAGAACCAGCGACCTTTCGGTTACTGGCACAACGCTCTTAACCACTAAGCTACCTGCCGCCCTACCACAGCGTGATAGCACAGTGTCCTTTTTTAAAAAGCAGCATAACATGTTGAGAAATCCCACAGGGCCTGATGTGACATACTTTATCCTCTGGTTCTCCTACTGCTATCTTGTTTATTATTATCGATCTCTGTCTGTACTCTGTATTGTCGACGCTTGCTTGTGGTGATTAATCAATTTCCCTTAGGAAAGGGATTATTGAAGCAAATCAAATCAAATTGTATTTGTCACATACAGTGGGGAGAACAAGTATTTGATACACTGCCGATCTTTCAGGTTTTCCTACTTACAAAGCATGTAGAGGTCTGTAATTTTTTATCATAGGTACACTTCAACTGTGAGAGACGGAATCTAAAACAAAAATCCAGAAAATCACATTGTATGATTTTTAAGTAATTCATTTGCATTTTATTGCATGACATAAGTATTTGATCACCTACCAACCAGTAAGAATTCCAGCTCTCACAGACCTGATAGTTTTTCTTTAAGAAGCCCTCCTGTTCTCCACTCATTAGCTGTATTAACTGCACCTGTTTGAACTCGTTACCTGTATAAAAGACACCTGTCCACACACTCAATCAAACAGACTCCAACCTCTCCACAATGGCCAAGACCAGAGAGCTATGTAAGGACATCAGGGATAAAATTGTAGATCTGCACAAGGCTGGGATGGGCTACAGGACAATAGGCAAACAGCTTGGTGAGAAGGCAACAACTGTTGGCACAATTATTAGAAAATGGAAGAAGTTCAAGATGACGATCAATCACCCTCGGTCTGGGGCTCCATGCAAGATCTCACCTCGTGGGGCATCAATGATCATGAGGAAGGTGAGGGATCAGCCCAGAACTACACGGCAGGACCTGGTCAATGACCTGAAGAGAGCTGGGACCACAGTCTCAAAGATAACCATTAGTAACACACTACGCCGTCATGGATTAAAATCCTGCAGCGCACGCAAGGTCCCCTTGCTCAAGCCAGCGCATGTCCAGGCCCGTCTGAAGTTTGCCAATGACCATCTGGATGATCCAGAGGAGGAATGGGAGAAGGTCATGTGGTCTGTTGAGACAAAAATAGAGATTTTTGGTCTAAACTCCACTCGCCTTTCGTTTGGAGGAAGAAGGATGAGTACAACCCCAAGAACACCATCCCAACCGTGAAGCATAGAGGTGGAAACATCATTCTTTGGGGATGCTTTTCTGCAAAGGGGACAGGACAACTGCACCGTATTGAGGGGAGGATGGATGGGGCCATGTATCGTGAGATCTTGGCCAACAACCTCCTTCCCTCAGTAAGAGCATTGAAGATGGGTCGTGGCTGGGTCTTCCAGCATGACAACGACCCGAAACACACAGCCAGGGCAAATAAGGAGTGGCTCCGTAAGAAGCATCTCAAGGTCCTGGAGTGGCCTAGCCAGTCTCCAGACCTGAACCCAATAGAACATTTTGGAGGGAGCTGAAAGTCCGTATTGCCCAGCGACAGCCCCGAAACCTGAAGGATCTGGAGCAGGTCTGTATGGAGGAGTGGGCCAAAATCCCTGCTGCAGTGTGTGCAAACCTGGTCAAGACCTACAGGAAACGTATGATCTCTGTAATTGCAAACAAAGGTTTCTGTACCAAATATTAAGTTCTGCTTTTCTGATGTATCAAATACTTGTGTCATGCAATAAAATGCAAATTAATTACTTAAAAATCATACAATGTGATTTTCTGGATTTTTGTTCCGTCTCTCACAGTTGAAGTGTACCTATGATAAAAATTACAGACCTCTACATGCATTGTAAGTAGGAAAACCTGCAAAATCAGCAGTGTATCAAATACTTGTTCTCCCCACTGTACGTGTTTAGCAGACGTTATAGCTGGTGTAGCGAAACGCTTGTGCTTCTAGCTCCGACAGTGCAGTAATATCGAAAAAAGTAATATCTAACAACAAAGTTTCCTAAGAGCTAGTCGCGAGTACTACTGTCCTAAGGTGCGGAAGAAGTGTGATGTCTGATCAGTCCCCTGTTCCCCCCCTAGGTCCCCATGTTGTCCCCCACGCCTGACGTCTACTCCACGCCACCTCCCATGTACCGCTCGTCACACACGCCAGAACCCCGACCACAGACTGACTCCATCGACACCATCCAGGTAAATAAAGGAAGGCCCGGAAAATCGTTAAGACTCCAGCCACCCAAGCCATAGACTGTTCTCTCTGCTTCTGCACGGCAAGTGGTACCGGTGCATCAAGTCTAGCACCAACAGGCTCCTGAACAGTGGGGGAAAAAGGTACACCCAAACGCGCTTCAGCCCAGTTTAAACGAAAAAGGGGGGGAATCGGGTAGGGAAAGGGTGGGAGGCGCCTATACACCCTCACAGGGGAGTGTCCCGTTCGTCATGTCGGTACTGTCAGTAGTAGTAGCAACTAGACGGGTTATTCAAACGAGAATGATCATCATTGAAGATTCCTACACGTTCACGCCACCTGAATAAATAAAAAAAGACGGAGAAACAGATTTACAGAAAGATAAGAAAGACGGCTGTTCATTCAGAGCCTTTTGTCTCGACACAATCGAAGCAGTCGATCCAAATTGCCCCCCTCTGTAACAATTTCCTCACAATATTGCAATATCACGCTTTTTATCCGCCCTGTATTCAGATTTCTCACGTTTGTCTGTTTTGGTGAGGGGGAGCTCTAATCGTCTCGTGCTCGCTTGTGAGCCATGTTGAGGAGACTCTCACTGAAGCAGTGTTCCAGAAACCTATTTTTCATGATTTCAGCTTTAGTCTCAAAATCATTTGCCTTAGTCTAAGGCGGTGGTCACCAACCTTTTTCTGAAAGATTACTTTCGTAGTAAAAAAAAAGCCGAGATCTTACCGCTGAGATGTAAGAATAAATAAAATAATAATAATAAAACAAATAAAGGAAAAATAAACATTACTTAAAAAATGCAAGGCTATGCAACATTAACATTAATAAAAACAGTTTTGTAGGAATGAGGATTGTGCAGTTGGCCTAATACGTTATCACAGCATATTGGCTATATGCCTGGCCTGCCAATATTGTTCTCGGACCATACTATATTTCAAAACCAGACGCTTTGATAACAAAATAGATCAGTTGTTGTATCACTTGCGAAGCACAGCTGAGCATAAATATAAATACATTGCTCAAAAAAATAAAGGGAACACTAAAATAACACATCCTAGATCTGAATGAATGAAATAATCTTATTAAATACTTTTTTCTTCACATAGTTGAATGTGCTGACAACAAAATCACAAAAAATTATCAATGGAAATGAAATGTACAGTGGGGAAAAAAAGTCACCAATTGTGCAAGTTCTCCCACTTAAAAAGATGAGAGGCCTGTAATTTTCATCATAGGTACACATCAACTATGACAGACAAAATGAGAAAACAAAATCCAGAAAATCACATTGTAGGATTTTTTTATTTGCTAATTATGCTGGAAAATAAGTATTTGGTCAATAACAAAAGTTTCTCAATACTTTGTTATATACCCTTTGTTGGCAATGACACAGGTCAAACGTTTTCTGTAAGTCTTCACAAGGTTTTCACACACTGTTGCTGGTATTTTGGCCCATTCCTCCATGCAGATCTCCTCTAGAGCAGTGATGTTTTGGGGCTGTCGCTGGGCAACACAGACTTTCAACTCCCTCCAAAGATTTTCTATGGGGTTGAGATCTGGAGACTGGCTAGGCCACTCCAGGACCTTGAAATGCTTCTTACGAAGCCACTCCTTCGTTGCCCGGGCCGTGTGTTTGGGATCATTGTCATGCTGAAAGACCCAGCCACATTTCATTTTCAATGCCCTTGCTGATGGAAAGGGGTTTCACTCAAAATCTCACGATACATGGCCCCATTCATTCTTTCCTTTACACGGATCAGTCGTCCTGGTCCCTTTGCAGAAAAACAGCCCCAAAGCATGATGTTTCCACCCCCATGCTTCACAGTAGGTATGGTGTTCTTTGGATGCAACTCAGCATTCTTTGTCCTCCAAACTTTTTTTTACCAAAAAGTTCTATTTTGGTTTCATCTGACCATATGACATTCTCCCAATCCTCTTCTGGATCATCCAAATGCACTCTAGCAAACTTCAGACTGGCCTGGACATGTACTGGCTTAAGCAGGGGGACACGTCTGGCACTGCAGGATTTGAGTCCCTGGCGGCGTAGTGTGTTACTGATGGTAGGCTTTGTTACTTTGGTCCCAGCTCTCTGCAGGTCATTCACTAGGTCCCCCCGTGTGGTTCTGGGATTTTTGCTCACCGTTCTTGTGATCATTTTGACCCCACGGGGTGAGATCTTGCGTGGAGCCCCAGATCGAGGGTAGATTATCAGTGGTCTTGTATGTCTTCCATTTCCTAATAATTGCTCCCACAGTTGATTTCTTCAAACCAAGCTGCTTACCTATTGCAGATTCAGTCTTCCAAGCCTGGTGCAGGTCTACAATTTTGTTTCTGGTGTCCTTTGACAGCTCTTTGGTCTTGGCGATAGTGGAGTTTGGAGTGTGACTGTTTGAGGTTGTGGACAGGTGTCTTTTATACTGATAACAAGTTCAAACAGGTGCCATTAATACAGGTAACGAGTGGAGGACAGAGGAGCCTCTTAAAGAAGAAGTTACAGGTCTGTGAGAGCCAGTAATCTTGCTTGTTTGTAGGTGACCAAATACTTATTTTCCACCATAATTGGCAAATAAATTCATTAAAAATCCTACAATGTGATTTTCTGGAGAGAAAAAAATCTCAATTTGTCTGTCATAGTTGACGTGTACCTATGATGAAAATCACAGGCCTCTCATCTTTTTAAGTGGGAAAACTTGCACAATTGGTGGCTGACTAAATACTTTTTTCCCCCACTGTATCAACCCATGGAGGTCTGGATTTGGAGTCACCCTCAAAATTAAAGTGGTGTAATGTCCTTAAAACAAGTCAAAATGAGGCTCAGTAGTGTGTGTGTGGCCTCCACGTGCCTGTATGACCTCCCTACAACACCTGGGCATGCTCCTGATGAGGTCTAAAGCATCCGCCAACTCCTGGACAGTCTGTGGTGCAATGTGGCGTTGGTGGATGGAGCGAGACATGATGTCCCAGATGTGCTCAATTGGATTCAGGTCTGGGGAACGGGCGGGCCAGTCCATAGCATCAATGCCTTCCTCTTGCAGGAACTGCTGACACACTCCAGCCACATGAGGTCTAGCATTGTCTTGCATTAGGAGGAACCCAGTGCCAACCGCACCAGCATATGGTCTCACAAGGGGTCTGAGGATCTCATCTCGGTACCTAATGGCAGTCAGGCTACCTCTGGCGAGCACATGGAGGGCTGTGCGGCCCCCCCAAAGAAATGCCACCCCACACCATGACTGACCCACCGCCAAACCGGTCATGCTGGAGGATGTTGCAGGCAGCAGAACGACCCCACCTGTGGACGTCGGGCTCTCATGCCACCCTCATGGAGTCTGTTTCTGACCGTTTGAGGAGACACATGCACATTTGTGGCCTGCTGGAGGTCATTTTTGCAGGGCTCTGGCAGTGCTCCTCCTGCTCCTCCTTGCACAAAGGCGGAGGTAGCAGTCCTGCTGCTGGGTTGTTGCCCTCCTACGGCCTCCTCCACGTCTCATGATGTACTGGCCTGTCTCCTGGTAGCGCCTCCATGCTCTGGACACTGCTGACAGACACAGCAAACCTTCTTGCCACAGCTCGCATTGATGTGCCATCCTGGATGAGCTGCACTACCTGAGCCACTTGTGTGGGTTGTGTCTTGCTAATTGCCTATAATTTCCACATGTTGTCTATTCCATTTGCACAACAGCATGTGAAATGTATTGTCAATCAGTGTTGCTTCCTAAGTGGACAGTTTGATTTCACAGAAGTGTGATTGACTTGGAGTTACATTGTGTTGTTTAAGTGTTCCCTTTATTTTTTTGAGCAGTGTAATTTGCTTATTTCTTTTACTGGACTGATAGTACCTGCATCTGATGGTATTTGTATTTATTATGGATCCCCATTTAGTTCCTGCCAAGGCAGCAGCTACTCTTCCTGGGGTCCAGCAAAATTAAGGCAGTTATACATTACAATACATTCATAACAGATTTCACAATATATTAAGTGTGTGTCCTCAGGCCTCTACTCTACTACCACTTTAAATCATTTTAAATATGCTTGCGTTTTGATGGAATAAGTTTGATCATAGAAATGGCTACTTAATTACTGGTACCGCTTTGTGCACTGACCACAGACTGAAAAGTAGTCCAGGTGCTGACAAAACTTGCCTAGACAGGGATTTTGCCCTCTAGCTGACCTTACAATATCCTCAGGTCGGGGTTGTCTAGAGCATGACTTTCCCATCCTAGCTAATGTTTTCTATAGGTTCATTGACGACTGACTAGGCCACTCCAGGGTTCAGAGCAATCTTAGGCCACCTATTGCCTTGTGTTTGTCATTACAATGTGTTGAAGACCGCAGAACGCATCTTAATCCTCAAATACGATGCTTTAAGTTTTTGAAGATATTAGGACTAATATTCCTCCACCCCTCAAACTACTGCAGCTCTTGTACCGTTGCGCTCCAAGTTGGTCTGTGCAGCTCAGTTGTATAGTGTGGTGATCTGCATGCATAGACCACTGCTTTACCTAACCGTTAGTAAAGATTGAAAAAAGTAAGGGGCCTAGACAGCTGCCCTGGGGAATTCCTGATTCTACCTGGATTTTGTTGGAGAGACTTTCATTAAAGAACATCCTCTGTGTTCTGTTTAGACAGGTAACTCTTTATCCACAATATAGCAGGAGGTGTAAAGCCATGACACATACGTTTTTCCAGCAGCAGACTATGATCGATAATGTCAAAAGCTGCACTGAAGTCTAATAAAACAGCCCCCACAATCTTTTTATCATACATTTCTCTCAGCCAATCATCAGTCATTTGTGTAAGTTCTGTGCTTGTTGAATGTCCTTCCCTATAAGCGTGCTGAAAGTCTGTCAATTTGTTTACTGTAAAATAGCATTTTATCTGGTTTTACTAAGGGGTTGGTAACAGGCTGCTTGGTCGGCTATTTGAGCCAGTTAAGGGGGCTTTACTATTCTTAGGTAGGGGAATAACTTTTGCTTCCCTCCATCTTTGTTTCATAGTGTAGTTTATTCTTTTTATTCAGTTTAGTCACATTATTTCTCAATTTGCAGTACGTTTGCCAAATCGGTTGTACAGCAGACCTATTTGCATCTCTTTTGCTCATCCCTCTCAATCATACCATTTTTAATTCCTCATCAATCCACGGGATCTAACGTTTTACAGACTTTTCTTAATGGGTGCATGCTTATTAGTAAAACCGGATAAGCAATTCATAAATGTGTTCAGTGCAGCGTCTGGTTTGTCGTCATTACACACCACGGACCAACAAATATTATTTACATCAACAACTAGGAACACTACGAAACGGGATTTTATTTAAACCCCTTTTACACATATGGCCCAATCAAAGTTAGGTGCAGTTTCATTTGGCCCATCCTCCATAGACCTTCTCATTCCTCAGGTTTCGGGGCTGTCGCTGGCATTACGGACTTTCAGCTCCCTCCAAAGATTTTCTATTGGGTTCAGATCTGGAGACTGGCTAGGCCACTCCAGGACCTTGAGATGCTTCTTACGGAGCCACTCCTTAGTTGCCCTGGCTGTGTGTTTCGGGTCGTTGTCATGCTGGAAGACCCAGCCACGACCCATCTTCAATGCTCTTACTGAGGGAAGGAGGTTGTTGGCCAAGATCTCGTGATACATGGCCCCATCCATCCTCCCCTCAATACGGTGCAGTCGTCCTGTCCCCTTTGCAGAAAAGCATCCCCAAAGAATTATGTTTCCACCTCCATGCTTCACGGTTGTGATGGTGTTCTTGGGGTTGTACTCATCCTTCTTCTTCCTCCAAACACAGCGAGTGGAGTTTAGACCAAAAAGCTCTATTTTTGTCTCATCAGACCACATGACCTTCTCCCATTCCTCCTCTGGATCATCCAGATGGTCATTGGCAAACTTCAGACGAGCCTGGACATGCGCTGGCTTGAGCAGGGGGACCTTGCGTGCGCTGCAGGATTTTAATCCATGACGGCGTAGTGTGTTACTAATGGTTTTCTTTGAGATTGTGGTCCCAGCTCTCTTCAGGTCATTGACCAGGTCCTGCCGTGTAGTTCTGGGCTGATCCCTCACCTTCCTCATGATCATTGATGCACCACGAGGTGAGATCTTGCATGGAGCCCCAGACCGAGGGTGATTGACTGTCATCTTGAACTTCTTCCATTTTCTAATAATTGCGCCAACAGTTGTTGCCTTCTCACCAAGCTGCTTGCCTATTGTCCTGCAGCCCATCCCAGCCTTGTGCAGGTCTACAATTTTATCCCTGATGTCCTTACACAGCTCTCTGGTCTTGGCCATTGTGGAGAGGTTGGAGTCTGTTTGATTGAGTGTGTGGGCAGGTGTCTTTTATACAGGTAACGAGTTCAAACAGGTGCAGTTAATACAGGTAATGAGTGGAGAACAGGAGGGCTTCTTAAAGAAAAACTAACAGGTCTGTGAGAGACGGAATTCTTACTGGTTGGTAGGTGATCAAATACTTATGTCATGCAATAAAATGCAAATTAACTACTTAAAAATCATACAACGTGATTTTCTGGATTTTTGTTTTAGATTCCGTCTCTCACAGTTGAAGTGTACCTATGATAAAAATTACAGACCTCTACATGCTTTGTAAGTAGGAAAACCTGCAAAATCGGCAGTGTATCAAATACTTGTTCTCCCCACTGTATCTATAACACAAAATACATGTGTGTATAGTAAGTATGTTATCGTGTGTTTGTATGCATGTCTATGTTTGTGTTGCTTCACAGTCCCCGCTGTTCCATAAGGTCTATTTTTATCTGTTTTTTTAAATCAAGTTTTAGTGCTGGCTTGAGTTACTTGATGTGGAATAGAGTTCCATGTAGTCATGGCTCTATGTAGTACTGTGCGCCTCTTTGTGGCACCTGACCACACGACTGAACAGTAGTCCAGGTGCGACAAAACTAGGGCCTGTAGGACCTGCCTTGTTGATAGTGCTGTTAAGAATGCAGAGCAGCGCTTTATTATAGACAGACTTCTCCCCATCCTAGCTACTGTTGTATCAATATGTTTTGACCATGACAGTTTACAATCCAGGGTTACTCCAAGCAATTTAGTCTCCTCAACTTGCTCAATTTCCACATTATTCATTACAAGATTTAGTTGAGGTTTAGGGTTTAGTAAAGGATTTGTCCCGAATACAATGCTTTTATTTTTTGAAATATTTAGGACTAACTTATTCCTTGCCACCCATTCTAAAACTAACTGCAGCTCTTTGTTAAGTGTTGCAGTCATTTCAGTCGCTGTAGTAGCTGACATGTATAGTGTTGAGTCATCTGCATACATAGACACACTGGCTTTACTCAAAGCCGTTAGTAAAGATTGAAAAAAGTAAGGGGCCTAGACAGCTGCCCTGGGGAATTCCTGATTCTACCTGGATTATGTTGGGTAGGCTTCCATTAAAGAACACCCTCTGTGTTCTGTTAGACAGGTAACTCTTTATGTGTAAAGCCATAACACATACGTTTTTCCAGCAGCAGACTATGATCGATAATGTCAAAAGCTGCACTAAAGTCTAATAAAACAGCCCCCACAATATTTTTAGCATACATTTCTCTCAGCCAATCATCAGTCATTTGTGTAAGTGCTGTGCTTGTTGAATGTTCTTCCCTATAAGCGTGCTGAAAGTCTGTCAATTTGTTTACTGTAAAATAGCATTTTATCTGGTTTACTAAGGGTTGGTAACAGGCTGCTTGGTCGGCTATTTGAGCCAGTTAAGGGGGCTTTACTATTCTTAGGTATGGGAATGACACTTGCTTCCCTCCATCTTTGTTTCATAGTGTAGTTTCTTCTTTTTATTCAGTTTAGTCACATGATTTCTCAATTTGCAGTACGTTTGCCAAATCGGTTGTACAGCCAGACCTATTTGCCATCTCTTTTGCCTCATCCCTCTCAATCATACCATTTTTTAATTCCTCATCAATCCACGGGGATTTAACTGTTTTTACAGACATTTTCTTAATGGGTGCATGCTTATTAGTAACTGGGATAAGCAATTTCATAAATGTGTCAAGTGCAGCGTCTGGTTGCTCGTCATTACACACCACGGACCAACAAATATTCTTCACATCAACAACATAGGAATCACTACAAAACTTATTGTATGACCTCATGCACAATATTAGGCCCAGCCTTCGGAACTTTGGTTTTCCTAGATATGGCTACTATATTGTGATCACTACATCCGATGGATTTGGATACTGCTTTCAAGCACATTTCTGCAGCATTAGTAAAGATATGATCAATACATGTTGATTATTTAATTCCTGTGCTGTTTGTAACTACCCTGGTAGGTTGACTGATAACCTGAACCAGGTTGCAGGCACTGGTTACAGTTTGAAGCTTTCTCTTGAGTGGACAGCCTGATGGCGGCAGGTAGCTTAGTGGGTAAGAGCGTTGTGCCAGTAACCGAAAGGTCGCTGGTTCTAATCCCCGAGCCGACTAGGTGAAAAATCTGTCGATGTGCCCCTGAGCAAGGCACTTAACCCTAATTGCTCCTGTTAAGTCGCTCTGGATAAGAGCGTCTGCTAAATGACAAAAAAAAAAGAAAAAAAAAAAAGAAAGCCAGTCAATATTTAAATCACCCAGAAAGTATACCTCTCTATTGATATCACACATTATCAAGCATTTCACACATGTTATCCAGATACTGACTGTTAGCACTTGGTGGTATTTAGCAGCTTCCCAGCAGAATGGGCTTTAGGTGAGGCAGGTGAACCTGTAGCCATATTACTTCAACAGTATTTAACATGAGATCCTCTCTAAGCTTTACAGGGATGTGGTTCTGAATATAGACCGCAACACCGCCCCCATTGGCATTTCTGTATATGTTATAACCTTGTATTGCTACCACTGTGTCATCAAAGGTATTATCTAAGTGAGTTTCAGAGATTGTCAGAATATGAATGTCATCTGTTACTAGCAAATTATTGATTTCATGAACCTTGTTTCTTAAGCTGCATATGTTAACGTGGGCTATTTTAAACCCTTTTCTGGGATGATTGAATATTTTTCTTGCTTTACTGGGAAGCTTAGCAGAGGTAGACATACTCAGGTTATTTCTATTAGTGCAGGGTGAGCTGCACACAGTGGACTTCCTACTAGGGCACACCACCTCCGTGCTAACAATATTACTCTGGTTCATAGGCACAGGACTCCTGCATACAATAGCTGTAGGATCAGCAGAGGCATTCAGGGCAGTAAGAGGGACATAAATTAGGTTATTTACATTGTGTCTTCCAACGCCCCTAGGATAATGTACATTTGCTGAATCATTATGGCAACTCAGTGACACAATGGTAGGGATTAAATGAGCTGGACTTGGGTCATTGATAAGTCATTGTCTCAACGCAGCCTTTATAATGCTGTGAAAGGATCCAGGAACCCAAATGATTTGGGTGGATCCCATCCTCCTTATAATACAAGCTTTGTTTCCAGAAGGTATCAAAATTGTCAATATATGTTACACCCACAGAGCTGCAATAGTCTCGTAGCCAGTTATGGAGGGATAAAAGTCTGCTGAACTGTTCAATGCCACGATTTAGGGAGGGCAGAGGGCCAGATATTATGGGGCATTTGTTGGTGTCAAGTAGAGACCCAATCTTTAAAATCCATCTTCAGCTGTTCTGAGCTGCCCTTCATAATGTCATTTGACCCCACATGAACCATGACAGGTCTAAGGAATTGACCAGTAGGAATATTGTGTTTTAGAGGTTTAGGATGATTACTATCATACCTTTTTAGGAGCGTCTTTTGGATGAATTAGAATGCCGACTGCGAGCCAGGCCTAATCGTCCAACATCAGTGCCCGACCTCACTAATGCTCTTGTGGCTGAATGGAAGCAAGTCCCCGCAGCAATGTTCCAACGTCTAGTGGAAAGCCTTCCCAGAAGAGTGGAGGCTGTTATCGCAGCAAAGGGGGGGGACCAACACCATATTTTTGGCCATGATTTTGGAATGAGATGTTTGACGAGCAGGTGTCCACATACTTTTGGTCATGTAGTGTAGCTAGGTGGGGCAACCACGTCTCTACCTGGTGAAATAAATGTTAAATGCATTCTTCCTTCCTCCCCATCCAGGTGTCCCCGTCGTCAGAGCAGCCCCCTGCCTCCTCTGAGACCCAGCAGGTCTTCCAGCCTGTCAACGTCTCCAAACCCCCACACAGCTCCGGCATCAATGTCAACGCAGCACCATTCCAGTCCATGCAAACAGTAAGGACACACACACACACACACACACACACACACACACACACAAACACACACTGGGGGATACTTGTAGGGTGACTTGGGGACGCACACAATGGCTCACATGTCACCTCTTCTGAGATCTGGAAGACACCTTTTTTTTCTGGGAGACTTTACACCCAAAACCATTCTGTGATGTCATTAGGGTGTCAGGAAAAGGTCGTTCTATGTTTAACATCACTGAACTAAGAATACAAGCGCATTGGTTTGATTTGAATTCATGTAATTAGCAACACTTGGACAGGGTTGGGTAGTAACAGATTATATTCCTCAATTTAAGTGGCAGGGATACAATTGGGCTGAAACACAAATCCCAGATTGTAGCTTTAACTCTTACTGAGCCGATGACCTTTTCTCCGATTCTTTTCAGTTTAACAGGAAGTGGCTATTGTTCCTGGTTGAACCACAGCGAACACTGTACTCATCATTGTCTCACCAGGCTGCCTTATTCCTCTCCTCAGGTATTCAACCTCAACCCCCCTGTCCCGCCAGCCAATGAGACGGAAGCCTTGACCCAGGCCAGCCAATACCAGAACAGCTACAGCCAGCAGGGCTTCAGCAGCCAATCACAGCAGCTCCCTGTGGAGCAGACCGAGATGCAGACGGAACCGCTGCAGTGTGGTGAGCTAGCAGGGCTGGAGCAGATGTTTACCCTTTTCACACTACCAAGTTGAGCCGTACCCCACTGGCCTGGTTATGCGTACACCATTGTGCTACTGGAACCATCCTGGAAAGGACAATGTGAACAGGTTGAACAGCACTGGATGGTGTGAAAAGGATATTTCATGACTGTTGGTCTTAAAAATTGCCATTTTACTTAAACTACTTTTTCCCTGTAGTGGCTGGTGCCTTCCACACCCAGGACCCATCCCTGCCCAGCCAGGACCTGCCCCAGGGACAGCAGCCCGGCCAGCAGGGTTCAGGGTTTGGCCCCGGGGCCGGTCGACAGGCCCAGCCCTTCTACAACAGCAGAGGCATGACCCGCGGAGGGCCACGTAATACCCGCGGCCTAGCCAACGGATACAGAGGTCCAGTATCCCATCTGTCCTCAGACTGTTACGACTAACTGCAGGGCCACACAGCATCTTCAATATACTCTATACTACAGCTTTCTGTTCTCTATAGGGCTTGAAAGAGTTGATGTTTGACATGTTGATGTTATTGTTTGAGCAGTGCGAGACACTATATGCTCTTTTATTTTTTTTTTTTTTATGACAGTGCATACGTGTATCTAACTTGAGTGTAACGATCCATTCCAGGTGGTTATGACAGTTACCGGCCTCCCTTTGCCAACACTCCGAACTCTGGATACCAACAGGCCCAGTTCAACACACCTCGGGACTACTCCAATGGTGGCAACTACCAGAGGGGGGTAAATAACCCTTTGACCTTATCACTCACACAGGGTTGAAGGAAGGATTGGGATGGATGTTGAGCTAACATGCTCAGGCCCGCTTTCCCGGACACAGATTAAGCCCTGGACTAAAAAGCACTTTCAATTGGGGGGAGCGTTCTTTTTTTGTTGTTGTTGTCCAAAACCAGGCTTAATCTGGGTCTGGGAAGTTGGTCCTTAAAGTTGTCTTTCCCCTTGCCATAGGGGATCTTGGATGGTCTGTTTGGCATCTATAAGAGCAGGGGGTGGCTTGGCGTTTACGAGCGTTGGGCCAGTAACCGAAAGGTTGCTGGTTCGAATCCCCAAGCTGACTGGTTTTGTGTTCCCTCTCCTTGCCACATTACTGGATGGTCTCATTTTATTTTATTAGGAATCTAATTTATATAGGGGTACTCTCTAAGAACTGTCAGTAATGTTTTGTCCCTCTGTCTTTTCCCCCCTGCTTTAGGACGGTTATAATCAGAACTACAAGCGTGGAGCAGGTCAGGGACCCAGAGGGGTGTCTCGAGGAGCCAATGCCCAGGCCATGAGGTCCTGATCGGGCCTGTGTTTGACTGACTGACTCTGACTGCTGGTTCCAATTCACTCCCTACCCGTTGTCCTTGGCCCTAACATTTCAATGTTTTCAGATCTAAGGGAACACACACACCGCACCGAAATGATGATCTGCCGTTTGTTCGGCATCGCTGTGTATTAGGGACCACCTGCTCGCTGGTGGACGTCTGACTGACGACATTTTTGTGCGATTCTACGTGTATAATCGGTTTGCAGTCGGCACTCTGTTCAGAGGTGATAAGTACTCTTAGCTGGTAAAAGCTACTGGTGTGTCTTGAGTCTTTTTTTAAATGTCTGGATACGTATAACAGGTGTAGGGGTGGACTGACTTAGGTCTCTTTGTCCAGGGTGGGACATAAGGATGCAACAATCATGTGTGGATGTGGAGCTTCCACCATATTGCTTACTTGAGTCTTACAGATCTGCCAAAATGTAAGGGTTAGGTCCAAGGTGGGGGGTAAGGAGCGAATTGGGACAGGTTTTGACTGACCGACAACGTGCCGTGCCATGCCACACTTAAACATTCAAGATATCCAGAATGCATTTTGCCCCCAGCTCACTTTTATTTGTCCTTTTTGTTGTTCCTCATCAGTTATTTTTCCTGGCTTTTGGATCAAAGTCATGCCTGCTTTGATATTTAAAAAAATGATTGTTTTAAAATGAGTCTGAATACACAAGCCAAGCTGTAAATCTGACAAATGGTTTTAAGCAACCCTGTTTTTGAAACAAATATTCCTGTAAACTTGAAATATTTTTTGTGTATTTTTTTTTAAATGACATAAAACACAAAAATTCTGCCACTGCTGGTCCGAGGCTCCGGGAGTACTTTTTCGTTCTCTTGGCCAGTCCCCCCATTTTTTTGTTTTGTTCACATACCTTCATTTTGGGTTCTAAAAAAAGTATTTTGGTTTTTAAGTTTTTAAAAGAAGCTCTCAATTCCTCAGTTTGTAAATTGATGTTGCATCAAGAGTTTCAATGTTGTTGCATCAAGAATTTCAATAAAGATGTTGCATTACCCTTGATTTGATTTGTGGTTGTTGCATCCAGTGTCTTCTATTTCTGAGTGATGCAGGAGCAGCCAGGGCCGAACAAGATGTTTTCATTGTTGAATTGTCTTCTCCATAGAAAACTGATTGCAGCAGATGGATGACTGAGTTATACAGGAGATGATATGGAGGGTGTGGATTACTAGAGCATGTCATTGTAGGTTTGTCTCCAATACACACGATTTTACTATCATTACGAATTCTGTCATATATGAATCCAATTTATTTTAAAGCTTATTCGTTTAATCTGCCTCTTGCTTGTTTGTATGAGTTATTTAGTTCGTTTCAGTTTTATTTTTATTCAGGCATTTTGTTGACCACATGTGGTGCAGGATGACATCCCTTCCTCCCAAGCTAGCTGATCACAGCCCTTCGGTCCTACTGTCGTATAGTTATGACGTCATATCGGGGTCCTTTAAGTGCAGCTGTCCTAAGGTCAATTTATCGGCATGATGGCCAGTTCTTTTATCCCATACAGTAAAAGTGCAGTAACTGCAGTCGACAGTGGTATTTTGGACGCAGTAATTGCAGTGTACTCAAGTTATAATGCAGTATTACTGCAAAATTACTGCAGTAAAAAAAAACTTTCGGACGCAGGATACTGCACTCTGACTGCAATTTTTTTTCATAGGGAATACCTCCGTGTGGCCAGCATTTTAAACCAACGGAACCATAGTTTTGGTCTTGTTTTCATAAACATTTATTAGTTTTATCAGGATTAAGCAGCAGTGGGCATACTAACCACGTAAGATAAGAACAATATCTGAACCAATGAGTTTTATAATAACTGCTAGCTAATTCAAATCCCCATAGTAGAGAGATCCTCTAGCTAGGACTGAAGGGCTGTGATCAGCTAGCTCGGGAGGAAGAGATGTCATCCTGCGCCACATGCTGTCCAAAGCTGCAGTTGGAGCCAGAACCTCTGTCCTCTGGTGTTATTATTATTATTATTTTTTAAAGAGCTGGGCTTCAGCAGGTAAATAATACCCCACAAGACATGCCTGCAATTATGTCTACTTGTCACTTTTCCCAGATCTGTTTATGCTGTATAGCCAACTGATGGTAGTTGTCATGGCAAGATGGCACAAACAGATCAGAGACCAGGCTAGAGAGTGAGGTCTTGCAGTAAGAAACCGTAAGATGCACTGGCGACAGGCACTCTGAACATTAAGCAGGACATTGGAGCTGCTCGTTGCTGCCACCAATATCCGTTACACCTGCTACGAGAGACACAAGATCCTGGGGAACACCTACGGCATGTGTATGATATACACTTTTCTAGCTCTGAGTCTCTACTTTTATCCAATGTAAAAAACACCAATTCAAATGTAGCTACATAAGACCGAATCGAGACGCCGGGTCAGTCACAAATAAACAAATCGGCATGTGTATCCTGCAGGTGAGACGTCATTGTTCTTCTTCTTGTACTTCTTCCTCCAAAGTATGACAGATGTAACTCATTATGTTCAACTCTCCAGATTTTTACCATAGCTGTTTCACTCACAGCAGTTTTGAGTTTGTAAATATGTTTATAAAACTGCTACGCTTTCCTTTTCTTTAAATATGACCCTATCACTGTCTCCATGGTAACTAACTGCCCTACCCTCTCCGTCGTCATTAACGACAAGCTCAACATCAACCTGAAAGGGATTAAATGTTTCTTGTGCCTGGTCTGTTGTCTCTTGGTGTGCTTCTCAGTTCTAGAAACTTCACTCGTCCAGCCGCAAACTCCCTGACGACATATTTGGCAACCTAAAACAGGACGGATTAATGTATTCAACTGTGTTCAATGCTGAGTCCACGTGGTTAACCTTTTTACTGCAGTGGGCTAAAGCAGGGTCACACAGTGTTTCTTGGTAGTCTTAAGCAAATATCCTTAGAAACCAAAGTATACACCTCACACACATGGTTATGGGCTTGCAGACACCTGTACCATGTCAGAGATCAAATGTATTCAATTTTGAGTTTGCAACCTAATATTACACTTTATATACATCACAGAAGACTGAAATATAACAACCGTTTGACAAACAGATTTTCAGCTGTTTTTTTCTTCATGTTTATTAATTAGGAATTACTGCACGAACTACGTTTATGTGGGTGAAATTTAGAAAGAGTTCAAATCACAATTATCACATTTGATAGTTAAGTGACCATAGACAACCAATATCTCCTTTACCATAAGAATGTTATCATCTGTATCTACTAAATGATGGATGACTTTGAAGCCTTGGAGAGACAAGACAAGAGACTGGTTTTGACAGGTGAGTGTCTATATACTGAATATATAAGCTGATCAGTATTATTTGCTGTCTGAGTATCATGTACTGTATCTGTTCAATCAATGCACCATAAGACTCAGAGAAACAATCTGTCCATAGCTACGTACTCGTCCAGTGTCCTTTTCCGACTACTGCGGATGGCAGTCATGCTGTATCAAGATATTGAGATGCGTTTTGCGAGCCATGAGTTTATCGATGGTTGAGAACCTGACGGAGCCATTGAGATGGGCATGGAGCTCCTGAGTACAAAGATAGGACTACAAGCTAGCAGTTAGCGTACCAACCTGTTGGAGTGAACTGGCTGGCTAGCTATTCATTTCCACTTCTAAAAAAATAACTTATCTTCAGCCAGGTCAAAAACAAATATATTGTAGACTTAGCACCGTTGGCAGCTGTCAGAATACATCAGCTTCCTCCTCGAATGCAATTATTTTATTGGGAAATAAATGTACTCAAGGATATTTGAACCTGTGCGATCGTCACTTTCTTTTCAGCGCAGATGCTTGCTTTGTTTTCAGTGCTCATTTCCCCGTTGCACCACTACGTTGCAACCGTGAAACATTTCCCCATTCCACCGGAAGCTAAATAATTGTTCCCCAACTATATTCACAAACGCACACCTCCAAATGACAAAATAAATAAGACAAGTTTCAAAACATTTAAGTGGAATGATTTAATCATCTCAGCAAAGTAAAAATAACTAACTTTAGAAACAAGGCTTTTCATTCCACACGGACAGTTCCCTTGAGTTCTTAACTTTATTTTACTCTGAATATTCCAAGACCCTTACATTTCCATACACTTGCCCTTCATTTCTGTTACAAAAAAATGTTTTTTTTTTCTTCTCCAAAATGTATTTTCCCTCTGGAATCCATGCTCTTTGTCATGTTACAGGTCATCGAATACTTTTTCCTGGAGGATTTGACCTGCTTTCCAGTTTGGTAAATGTGAGATGAACACTTGTCCATAAGAGAGAAGGATATGGAATGAAAATAGACAATGTATAAAACTTAGAAATAACAAAAAAGGCAAGCGTGTAGAGGAGGTGTGATGCATCTGTGGGGATAGTCCTGTGTTCGTTCTGGAGGCAACTTTGGCATAGATTAATACCCCAGTTAAATACTCTCTTATCCCGTATTGGGTAGAGTGCAGGGACATGGCAAGGGTATTACCTGGCTCGGGATGGATTCCCACTAGCCTAGCTCTTCCTACTGCACTGGCCTGGTTATACATCCAATGTCAAAATGAACATATCTGAGCCAGCACGGTACGCTTCAGGTCGGTGTGATAGTGTGAAAGGAGTATAGTACCTCAGGGCAGGGCAGGTTGGGTTTGTTTGACACCGGCCAGACACACACCCACTACTGTACTGTAGTACAGACATACAGGCAACCCTGAGGTGGGGGGAGGGATGCCAACATGTGGCAAAAGCATTTCAACAGAATGAGGGGAAAAAAACAACAACATCAAGTCAGAAAACCAGTGAACTTTTAACACAATCTGATGGGAATCTTTCATTTTTGGAGAAAGAAAAATGAACAAGGGAGGAAGGAGGATCTCTGACGGAGGTCTTGATAAAGGCAGGTTGTCAACTCCCCTTTCTCCCTCGTCCTTTCTCTACCTCCCCCTCTTCCTCAATGAAAGGAGAGCCACCCTTGTCCTCTCTCCCCCTTCCTCCTATTCTGATCCTCTCACAGGTAGAGCTCCTTAGCTAGGATATGGTGCAGTTTCTCCCGGAGGACTCTGAAGCGGGGTCGCACCAGGGGGTCCAGAGTCCAGCACTGCTTCATGACTTCATACACCACCTCAGGACAGCCGTCCGGGGCCTCCATCTTGTAGCCCTTCTCTACGCGTGGTACCACCTCCTTCAGAGGCTGAGGGAGGAGAAGGGTGGGATGAGGAAATTGGAAAATAAGAAAAATGTGAAGAGGGGAGTGGACTCGGGAGTCATTCATAGAGGAGGGGAGTGGACACGGGAGTCATTCATAGAGGAGGGGAGTGGACACGGGAGTCATTCATAGAGGAGGGGAGTGGACACGGGAATCATTCCTAGAGGAGGGGAGTGGACACGGGAATCATTCATAGAGGAGGGGAGTGGACACGGGAGTCATTCATAGAGGAGGGGAGTGGAAACGGGAATCATTCATAGAGGAGGGGAGTGGACACGGGAGTCATTCATAGAGGAGGGGAGTGGAAACGGGAATCATTCATAGAGGAGGGGAGTGGACACGGGAGTCATTCATAGAGGAGGGGAGTGGACACGGGAGTCATTCATAGAGGAGGGGAGTGGACACGGGAGTCATTCATAGAGGAGGGGAGTGGACACGGGAGTCATTCATAGAGGAGGGGAGTGGACACGGGAGTCATTCATAGAGGAGGGGAGTGGACACGGGAGTCATTCATAGAGGAGGGGAGTGGACACAGGAGTCATTCATAGAGGAGGGGAGTGGACCCATAACAGCAGTGTCCACATTTCAGATTTACTACATCAACTCTTAACTGCTTAAATTCATATACTCTATAGCTGTCACAAATTGTAACACACCTGCCCAATCAGTCCTTATTCATCCTCTGTCCAGGCATAAAGATACTTACAATTCTGGGGTAAGGCACTCGGCCAAAGGAGTAGATCTCCCACAGCAAGATCCCATAGCTCCACACATCTGACTTGGTGGAGAATTTCTATTGATCAACAAACAGAGGGAAAGACAGCATTTAAGCTTATGTGTAACACATACAGTATAAATGGTGCCAATCAGCAGTACAATACTATTGATATACTCTTAAATCTCAAGTCGACCTCTAACCCCTACTCACTGTAGATCTCAGAGGATTGGATAGGTGGAAAGCAATATGGTGGTAGCTTCATCTTGCCCTCTGATAGGCTAGGTAGAATTGCTACCATATTGCTTTCCACCTATCCAAATCCCCTCCGATCTAAACAAGTTCCTAGAGGGTTGATTTGAGATCCAGGGTATGCTCCTAAAGACAATAAGGAAAGTGACTAGTGAAACCGACGTCAGTGTGCTAGCTAAGCAGTATAGCTTCCTCCCTATCTGAATACAACCCAGGGTAAACTTTCCATACCACGGCTCAAACTCGGGGCTCTCTGGCTCGCTAACACGTGTGGCCGCCCTCCTTGACAAAATACAAGCAGTTGAGCTATAGAAAACGATCAAATTCGATAGCAACATTGACGACATTTCAAGCTTGCTCTGGAGTGAGCTTACGGCACGTTCTAAATCTCTGTTACACTAGCCTACCTTCTCTCTCAGGGCTTCTGGTGAGGTCCACTTGATGGGCAGTTTGGCCGTGTCCTGATTGGATGAGGCCTCTTTGGTCAGGCCGAAGTCGCTGACCTTAGCGATGTTTTCATCAGACACCAGAACGTTACGCGCCGCCAGGTCTCTGTGGACAAAGTTATTGGCCTCCAGATACTCCATCGCCTCACACACGTCTCTACAGAGGAGGAGGGACACAGGCAACATTTAATGTACAGTTTACATTGGCAGTGAGGTCTCTGTTCAAGTTATTGGCATCGAGATACTCCATCGCCTCACACACACGTCACTACGGGGGAGGGGAGACGGTTGACATTTAAAGAGACGGCTGACATTTAAAGAGTCATTGACAACGCTGACCAAAATGGACAATGTTACATTTCCAACTGGCTGCTATAAGTCACTGTCAGCAGACTTCTGATAATATTATTGAAGATGTACAGACCATAGAGATGAATCATTATCATACTCACAGTGAGAACTTGAGAAGAGAATCCCCGAAGATCACCGTCCTGCCTCTGGATCGCAGGTAATCCACTAGACTGCCCTATAAAGAGAGGTCTTCAGTGCTCTCTGGTTCTTTATTTATAGAACTATTCATTTACTATCCTTTACTTAACTGAATCGTAAAGAGCCACCTACCTTGGCCATGTACTCACTGACGATAAACAGGCTTCCCTTCTCCTCAACGATGACACCTATCAACTGGACCAGGTTTGTGTGTCTCAGCTGGCTGCAGAAGAGAGACCAACACATTAGCAAGAGTTAAACATTTTAGAAAAGCTGTTTGAATAGCTGCACAGTAAACCAACACATATTCAACCAAAACCTCACAGCTCATAGAAACACTGTTCTAAGAAAACAATAAGGATGTTAAACACTTGACCAGAGTTGTGGTCCTCCCAAAGCTCTGAAACTGACTAGAGTTGCGGTCCTCCCAAAGCTCTGAAACTGACCAGAGTTGTGGTCCTCCCAAAGCTCTGAAACTGACCAGAGTTGCGGTCATCCCAAAGCTCTGAAACTGACCAGAGTTGCGGTCATCCCAAAGCTCTGAAACTGACCAGAGTTGTAGTCCTCCCAATGCTCTGAAAACGACCAGAGTTGTAGTCCTCCCAAAGCTCTGAAACTTACGTCATAACTGAGGCCTCTGCGATGAAGGCCTGTGCTGTGGCATCGTGCTTGATACACTTCACCGCTACTTTGGTCCCTCTGTAGTCTCCTACCTTCACGTCTGAAGGGAGAGATGGACAGAGACTAAGGATGGGTGTTTAAACCTTCTACATCCTGGAAATACTTTGGTTAAATAGTCACAGGTGGCAATGAGCGGCACTCTCTGTGTGTAGAAGGTTTAAACACCCATTCTGAGTCTGTAAGTGAGAATGAAAGCATCCACTTTAGACCATTTTCACACACTCCAACAGAACAGGTATTGGGGGTGGAGTGAACTGAAGAGAGTCCAGAAGACATCCCAGAACAGGGTGTGATGCAGAGGAGAGATCGATAATAACATATGTTCCCGAGGACCTAACGTCCCCCACACAACCGCAGACATACATGCGACAGACACATGACCACTTGCCTCCAAACTCTCCCTTCCCTATGGAATGTTGGATGTTAAGCTCCTTCCTGTTCAGAGCCCAGCCACTCCTGGAGAACTCGTCCTGGGCTGCCACAGTTCCCTCCTCCAGCTTCGGCTTGATCAGGTTGGTGCAGAGACCGTCTGCGTCTTTGGTATAGTGCTGAGGACAGGGAGAGGAGAAAGAGAGAGAGAGAAGGCATGGGTCAATAACATGGCCCAGGAAGGGTTAGAGGTTGTCAATACTGACGATGATTGATACATTAGGTTAGATTTTTATCTAAGTACCGGTAGGTAGGAACCAGGGTTGGGGTCAATTCCATGTCAATTCAGGAAGTAAACTGAATTCAAATAGAGTTGACCCCAACCCTGGTAGGAACCTTAGGATTTATTCAGCAGGACCTAGCAGTAACCAACAGAGGGCAGCATGGTTAAAAACATCAGAGCATTGGCTGGTTCTAAAAATAAAAAAAATGCATGTCATCAACACTGGGCTACTGGGCTTTCCCTTATACGCTTTAGGTCCACAACTAAGTCCATGTACAGTGAAATGGCTGAAGGAACAGAGAGGGTGGTTTGGAAGGAAGAGAGAGGGTGGTTTTGAAGGAAGAGAGAGGGTGGTTTTGAAGGAAGAGAAAGGGTGGATTTGAAGGAAGCGAGAGGGTGGTTTTGAAAGTGAAAGCCGGGTCAGGTGTCTTCAGGTGAAATGATCTAGAACCTACCGCTAACACTTCCTTTTTTTTGTCACTTCCTGTTCAGTGTATTTGTTCCAGGAACTACATGAACAAACAGTCTCAGAGGCCGGAACACCTCACTAACAGGGAAACCATGTCTGTATAGCCAACAGTCTCAGAGGCCGGCAACACCTCACTAACAGGGAAACCCATGTCTGTATCAGCCAACAAGTCTCAGAGGCCGGAAACACCTCACTAACATGGGAAAACCATTTTCTGTACAGCCCAACAGTCTCAGAGGCCGGAACACCCACTAACAGGGAATCATTTGTATAGCCAACCCAGGGCGGAAACCATAAGGAACATGTCTGTATAGGCCAACAGTCTCAGAGGCCGGAACAACTCTCACTAACATTGGAAACCATGTCTGTAACAGCCAACAGTCTCAGAGGCCGGTTAACACCTCACTAACAGGGAAACCATGGTCGGTACACGCAAACATTCTCAAGAGGCCGGAACACCTCATAAACGGGACCACATCATGTCTGTATAGCCAACAGTCTCAAGGCCCGGAACACCTCACTAACAGGGAAACATGTCTGTACTAGCCAACAGTCTCAGAGGCCGGAACACCTCACTAACAGGGAAACCATGTCTGTATAGCCAACAGTCTCAGAGGCCGGAACACCTCACTAACAGGGAAACCATGTCTGTACAGCCAACAGTCTCAGAGGCCGGAACACCTCACTAACAGGGAAACCATGTCTGTACAGCCAACAGTCTCAGAGGCCGGAACACCTCACTAACAGGGAAATCATGTCTGTACAGCCAACAACACGGTGCTCACTGCTCACACACTCTGCTTACAAAATAATAGACAGCTTTTTTAAACCAAGTGGAAAGCTCATTGGTACCATTTCGCTTTAGTAGCTGGTCCCAACTCCTTCCCTACACTTTTCCCTTGGCCCTAGCCCTTTGATGTTTGCAGACCTGTAAGGTGGATTGCAATATGGTGGAAACTCCACCACTACACTGTTTAAACCTATCTAGACTCTTCAGATCTACCACCATCAAATGGTAAGGGTCAAGGGTAAGGGTCAGGGTCAGGGAGTAGGGAGCGATTGGGTGTCTTATATGTGTCTTCCCCCTGTACCTCCACCAGCTGCATGAGGTTCTCGAAGAACTCATCCTCGTCGATGCTGAGCTTGCCCTCCTTATAGACGATACGGTAGTGCTCCACCTTGCCATCACAGCTGACACACAGGGTGTAGTCCCCGGGGTAGTTGGTGCTCTCTCTGACCAGGAACAAGCCCATCTCTGGGGGGATCAGGAGACTCTCTGCCTGTTCCCTGGTGATCTTACCATGGAACCATCTGGAAGGGGGGGGGGGGGCAATCAAATTTGTAGTCACAATGTGCTTTTCTTTTACAACAAGGAGTCATGCACACACACAGTTAATGTACATCTCGACGCATTCATACATTTACATCTCAATGCACACACACACACTTTTCTCAGAACTTAAGCATGTGGCTGAAAGTGGGAGATTGAAAGAGAACAACAGGAAACTGTGCAGCGTGCACAGAGCAGACAGTGGTGCTGGAAACAGACACAGTGCACTGCAATTACAGAGCTGAGTAGACAGAGCCAGGACGCAGCCCAACTGTGGATTAGATTCACATAACAGCGGCTGCACTGCCACGACAAACAGCCGTTCTGCACTCTACAATCACACAGAAACATACCGACAAACAGCCTTTCTGCACTCTACAATCACACAGAAACATACCGACAAACAGCCTTTCTGCACTCTACAATCACACAGAAACATACCGACAAACAGCCTTTCTGCACTCTACAATCACACAGAAACATACCGACAAACAGCCTTTCTGCACTCTACAATCACACAGAAACATACCGACAAACAGCCTTTCTGCACTCTACAATCACACAGAAACATACCGACAAACAGCCTTTCTGCACTCTACAATCACACAGAAACATACCGACAAACAGCCTTCTGCACTCTACAATCACACAGAAACATACCGACAAACAGCCTTTCTGCACTCTACAATCACACATAAACATACCGACAAACAGCCTTTCTGCACTCTACAATCACACAGAAACATACCGACAAACAGCCTTTCTGCACTCTACAATCACACAGAAACATACCGACAAACAGCCTTTCTGCACTCTACAATCACACAGAAACATACCGACAAACAGCCTTTCTGCACTCTACAATCACACATAAACATACCGACAAACAGCCTTTCTGCACTCTACAATCACACAGAAACATACTGAAAAACTTTCAACCTGAGTTAGTATCAGTCACTGAGCGGTGAACTAGAAATGAAGTCCTCTCTTAAATGTTTAATAGTTTGCTTTCACTTTATATTATACTTTACATTGAATGTGTTTATTCTTTAATTGATGAGAGCTCTTACAAAAAACACATTCCTATATACATACAAAATGGCATAATAAACTTAAAATCTACCCTAGTAACTTATTGACTGTTGACCATAAATGGTACTCCTGAAAGCCATCTTTTCTGTTACTACACTACCGGTGAGTCATGTAACAACAACACTCATACTCCTGAGTGGTGCAGTGGTCTAAGGCACTGCATCGCAGTGCTAACTGTGCCACTAGAGATCCTGGTTCGAATCCAGGCTCTGTCGCAGCCGGCCGCGACCGGGAGACTCATGGGCGGCGCACAATTGGCCCAGCGTCGTCCAGGGTAGGGGAGGGAATGGCCGGCAGGTATGTAGCTCAGTTGATAGAGCATGGCATTTGCAACGCCAGGGTTGTGGGTTTGATTCCCACGGGGGGCCAGTATAATTTTTTTTTTTTTATTCACTAACTGTAAGTCGCTCTGGATAAGAGTGTCTGCTAAATGACTAAAATGTAAATGTAAATGTAAATGAGTCATGTAACAACACAACACTGGTGATTCATGTAACACAACACTGGCAGTGTATTGATGGGAAGTCATTTCAGTACATGGAGTGATGAGTGTGCTGTACTTCCAGCAACGTTTTGAAGGATTCAGACCGGTTTAACCAGGCTATGGAGACTGTGCTGTACCTCCAGCAACGTTTTGAAGGATTCAGACTGGTTTAACCAGGCTATGGAGACTGTACTGTACTTACGGCATTAGACTCAGCTTGCCTCCTTGCTTCACCCCTTCCCTCTTCTGGACATAGTTAGCTGGGATGGTGCCTTCTCGACCTGCGGTGTTCTTGGCTTTGTACCAGTTGGGGTCCTGGGACAGAACATGTCACCATTACTCTGATTAGAAGATCAGGGTTGACTGAGTAAATAACATAGAGAGATGGACAACATTACCGAAACCCTCTGTAGGCTTGGCCCTACATGATGTGCTCTCTGTCACCTTGGGCCGCATGGTGAATACCCAGGAAAACACAAAGGACAATGTATGCACTCACTAACTGTAAGTCGCTCTGGATAAGAGTGTCTGCTAAAATGACTAAAAATGTAAATGTAAAATGATTTACAGCCCACCTCCTCAGACTATCACACAGATGTGACCCCCTTCCTAGAGGATGCTGGCTTGTTCCATCTAATTGAATATCTTAGTTGTATTACCTTTGGTTTGGTCTGTGGATTGGTCAACAATTGATTTTGAAGTCAGATCTGGTATAAATGGAATGAAAGTATTTTCTCCCTCGTCCTTGTTAAGCCCTCTATGGAAAAGTTGTATGATCAAGTCTAATTTCCTATGGCCTAGTAGGCATCTCTTTGTTTATGCTTTGTCTTGTAACCCCGTTAGATATGTATGTATGCCTAGATTGTGAATGCTATGTTAATGTCAGTATTGCCTTGTAACTAAAGCATTATGCCTTACATTTGATTTAGTTCATTTTACAATGATATTTAATAACATAACACTTGCGTTTTGCATTCGCTTCTCATGACCATTTCTTGATAGTCATCTAAAATCATAATACTTAATTGCACATGGTTTAACTATATTCAATGGAGGCAGATAGTTAGGTTTATAATCTAGATTGTTAAATATTATTTAGCACTATGCCCCCTTCAAAAAAAAAATCTAAACTATTTTCTTTAGAAACATGACAGAAATGTGAAAGATTGAGCATACGTTTCTCCTTACTCAAACGATAAACCATTTTGGCCTGTTTTCTAGTCTCGCTTGCCAGAGACATGGCGGCTGTGGTAAAATACTACCTGCTTCCTAACATAGAGAGTTAGGTACTTTACCTTAGTGACGACGATGATGGTTAAGACGTCTCCTTTGTTGAAGGGCAGGTCCTGCTCTGTGGTGCCCTTAAAGTTGTACTTGGCCATACACTCCGTGCCCTGCGGCCATGTTTCAGTCTGAGGGAGAGAGGAAATGTTCAGAAAAGCAATGAGGAAAATGTCAGTTTACTTTCTGGATTGAAAGTGTAGTGACCCCAACCCTGCAATAAACCAGTTCAATGACAATGGGTGGTATAGTGCAGGGGTTCTCCAATGTTTCCTCAGGGACCCCCAGACGTTCCATGTATTTTAACTACTCCGTGGCTCGCACAACTGATTCAACTTGTCGACTAATCGTCAAGCCCCTGAATAGGTGAATCAGGTGAGCTAGTTCAGGGTTACAACTAAGTCAATGGCAGGTGGTACAGTCGTATGAAAACGCTTGGGCACCCCTGACAATTTCCATTTATAAATAATTGGGTGTTTGGATCAGCAATTTTATTTTGATCTATCAAATAACTGATGGACACAGTAATATTTCGGTAGTGAAATGAGGTTTATTGGATTAACAGAAAATTTGCAATATGCATCAAAACGAAATTAGACAGGTGCATACATTTGGGCACCCCAACAGAAAAATCACATCAATATTTAGTAGAGCCTCCTTTTGCTAAAATAACAGCCTCTAGACGCTTCCTATAGCCTCTAATGAGTCTGGATTCTGGGTGAAGGTATTTTGGACCATTCCTCCTTACAAAACACCTCCACTTCAGTTAGGTTTGATGGTTGCCGTGCATGGACAGCCCGCTTCAAATCATCCCACAGATTCTCAATGATATTCAGGTCTGGGGACTGGGATGGCCATTCCAGAACATTGTACTTGTTCCTCTGCATAAATGCCCGGGTAGATTTTGAGCAGTGTTTTGGGTCGTTGTCTTGTTGAAATATCCAGCCCCGGCGTAACTTCAACTTTGTGACTGATTCTTCAACATTATTCCCAAGAATCTGCTGATATTGAGTGGAATCCATGCAACCCTCAACTTTAACAAGATTCCCAGTACTGGCACTGGCCACACAGCCCCACAGCATGATGGAACCCCCACCAAATTTTACTGTGGGTAGCAAGTGTTTTTCTTGGAACACTGTGTTCTTTTGCTGCCATGCATAACGCCCCTTGTTATGACCAAATAACTCAAATCTTTGTTTCATCAGTCCACAGCACCTTATTCCAAAATGAAGCTGGCTTGTCCAAATGTGCGTTTGCGTACCTCAAGCGACTCTGTTTGTGGCGTGTTTAGCAGAAAAGGCTTCTTCCGCATCACTCTCCCGTACAGCTTCTCCTTGTGCAAAGTGCGCTGAATTGTTGAACGATGCACAGTGACACCATCTGCAGCAAGATGATGTTGTAGGTCTTTGGAGGTGGTCTGTGGGCTGTTTTTGACCGTTCTCACCATCCTTCGCCTTTGCCTCTCCGATATTTTACTTGGCCTGCCACTTCTGGCCTTAACAAGAACTGTGCCTGTGGTCTTCCATTTCCTCACTATGTTCCTCACAGTGGACACTGACAGCTTACATCTCTGCGATAGCTTTTTGTAGCCTTCCCCTAAACCATAATGTTGAACAATCTTTGTTTTCATGTCATTTGAGAGTTGTTTTGAGGGCCCCATGTTGCCACTCTTCAGAGGAGAGTCAAAGAGAACAACAACATGCAATTGGCCACCTTAAATACCTTTTCTCATGATTGGATGCACTTGTCTATGAAGTTCAAGGCTTAATGAGCTCACCAAACCAATTGTGTGTTCCAATTAATCAGTGCTAAGTAGTTACAGGTATTCAAATCAACAGAATGACAAGGGTGCCCAAATGTTTGCATAGCCTATTTTTCACATCTGATTTAATTTCATACAACTTAATATTGCTACACTAAAAATCTTTGTCTGGACAATACCCCAGTACTCAGCTTTAATTAGAAAATGAATGGCATGCCACTGTGATCATTTTCTGTGACGACAGAGTAAATTATTATGCAGCCTCAGAGGGGTGCCCAAACTTTTTCATACGACTGTATATAGTGTTCTCTCTATTCAACATATAGGGTTATCTCTCTATTCAACATAGTGTTATCTCTCTATTCAACATAGTGTTATCTCTCTATTCAACATATAGTGTAATCTTTCTATTCAACATATAGTGTAATCTTTCTATTCAACATATAGTGTAATCGCTCTATTCAACATATAGTGTAATCGCTCTATTCAACATATAGTGTAATCGCTCTATTCAACATATAGTGTAATCGCTCTATTCAACACATAGTGTAATCTCTCTATTCAACATTTAGTGTAATCTCTCTATTCAACATGAAGCCATCTTTGTTTGTGATCACCAGGTCTCACCTGGGGTACAGACATGCTGAAGGGGAGGAGGCAGTGGGTCTCCTGTCACAGGCCTCACACACCGGACGTCACCATAACACACAAACGCATACACACCTGCGGAGATACAAGAAAAGACCGTTACAGGCAATACAGTGGACAACCTAAGTAGACAGTCACCACCTAAACACAACATTCAAAATGGGGCACTCGATAGACCCATCAAAGAACAAGAGGAGTAGAAATAACAGCCAGCAGTAAAAAGTAGGAAGTAACTTTTTTTTTCTTTTTTTTTTCTTCTCACTTTCGCAACAGTGTTTCCATTACGCTCTAACTGTGTCACAACACTAGGGTGGGCTAATTATTGGTTCAATCAATAATAACCATACTCTTTAGTTCTCAGCAACATTTCAGTTTGGCCCAGCCCACATTCTAGTACGGGAGATAAAACTTCAGATTAACGCGGCGTTTGTAACAGACGATTTATGGTCATTCCGGAATCTGCATCGGGCCATACAGCATTTACTGCGATGCGGCCTCCGCAGAAGTCAAGGCATTCATACGTCTTGCGCTTTGCGGAGCAGAGCTGTTGTGAAGGAAATTGTCAAGGAAGTGAGTTTGTGTTTATACAGGATGTACCGCCCCCCCACCTACCATCAACCATTCACGTCAATACAGAGCTATACGGAGCCCTCCGCATTGTTACAACATTTGGGAGGCACACGGCAATGCACTACAGAGCTTGATTTGGCCTCCACAAGCCTCTGGAGGTACCGCAATTGCGTCACACCCTCCGTACGGAGCATCCGGACCAGAGCTCAGGATGATAGAGGAGTTTCCCACTAGTAATTACCAGTTGGAAGGCCGTTCAAATAGATTTTTTCCCAGGAATATGTGGTAAACAGAGAATGACAGAGGTATCATCTTTATACATGTCCCATTATGGCGTCTGACGGGCAGCGCCACCTGAGGCCATCTCCATTTTGAAGTAGTCCATTTTCTTCTTCAATTACTTCTATGAGTTGGCAAACAAACTGAAAAGGGTGCGTACACTGCCACCTGGAGTGTGTTGTTTGAACAGGTATAAAGCCAAGGATGGTGATTTATTGCCATCTAGAGTTATGGAATGTTTGCTCACAAGTATAATTTATTGGCTGATCCCTTCTGATGACCCGGATGGAATCATGTGATCCTTCCTTCACCCATAGGAAGCCCCACCCAGTTAACTACTTTAAAATGGTGAAGCCCTCAATGGCAATGTCCATGCCAAAACAGTTTATATCCATCTAGAGTCCTTTATCTAACTCTATGGTGGTAAATTCCCACTTCCCACTTATGAACGCAGCATATATCCCCCCCCCCCCCACTCAGTTTAAAACTAGCCTGGTCCCAGATCTGTATCCCAGTAATGTATAAACAACTCAATGACTATAAGAGTTGGCAAGACAATACAAACAGATCTGGAACCAGGCTAGTTTAAAGCAACTATGAACCAAATAAAAAAATATCCTTATGCTACATTTCATTCCACATGGAGAACTCATCCGATTATTTTCCAACCAAAAAAGGTTGAAAGTTGATCCTTTCATCCCCAGTGAGTATCCTGTAGGGCTTAATATAGTTCTCCTCAACACTGGAATGTAAACTAGTGGTTGGACCATTAAAGGTTTCTCCTCCATCTTTATTTCCTAGGTTTGCAGATACTGACCATAGGGAGGGAAGCGTTTTTAAAACACATTTTATTCTATTGGCCACAGTCAGTGACATATGGATGTATTGACATAGTATTCATATTTCCACAAGGACTAACAAAAAGGAGTAGTATGTAGAAGCATGGCCCATAGATGATGTCATTAACAGAACAGACAAACCCATTCTCGTAATTCCGTTTGTATGCACATGAGGGGGGAATGCATGGCCCATGAGTGACGTCATCATCCCGGGACAAACCACTTATTCTCAGCCAGGGTCAGCTCCCATAGACGAGTCCTAGGCCGTGTTCATTAGGGACCAAATGAACATAAAACAGACTCAAACAGGGAGGGACTACCTGGACCTGGTCCAATGTGAAATGCAAATTTTCCCTATTCCATTGCAATGTTTTATAAATGATTTCTGTCACATGCCCTAATGAACAGGACCCTGGCTGAGTAACTAGCATCATGAACCCATTACAGTTAGAGGGGACTGCAGATGGTGAACTTCCTGTATGACAGAGAGCCAAGACTGTGATTAATCCACACTAAGGTAGGGTCACTGAGAGAGAGAGAGAGACAGAGAGACAGAGAGACAGAGAGACAGAGAGACAGAGAGACAGAGAGAGAGAGAGAGAGAGAGAGAGAGAGAGAGAGAGAGGAGAGAGGAGAGAGAGAGAGAGAGAGAGAGAGAGAGAGAGGACAGGGACTGCAGTGCACTATGGCAGCTAGAGGTACTGGTAGTAATGGAGACAGAGTAGGGCCTACCACACTTCCCTTTGAAAACACACATGCTTCATCCATGGTTACTATGCTATCGACAGACTCATTTGAAACGGTATGGCGCAACTTCGGTCAAGGCAGCTACAGTGTTTGGAGCAGCAGTATAAAATCAGAGCATTTGAAGGCTCCCAGTCATATAATGTATGACCTGCCATGACACATGAGCTAAGGCAGTTCAGTTCCACATGGAAATGTATGAGGAGTACAACCACATGCTGTGACCCCACTCAGGTCCTCAAGGCACCAGCACTTCCCACAGATACAGATACAGATTAGCTGCCGCGTCTGAAGTGCACTAACCACGAAGCCATCCCTGACCAGCCATTCAAGACTTTTGCAATGTCCAACTACAGAAGAAACACAATCAATCAACTGATGCTTTGGAGATAATAAATATCGATATCAATTTGATTTACTGTGTTTACCTATTGATGTTTAAATGACAATACATCTGGGTTTGTTGTACTGATTAGACAGCAACAGGATGGCTCTAGGCAAAGTCCTCAGTAGGTCAGTGACATCACCATGTAAGGAATGGATCAACAACACGGGGCCACGCCTGCCTCGCATGACACTTTTCATTTCCCTCTTCCAGCAATAGCTCAGTGAATCTGCATTCGCACTGCATTATGGGACAGCTCCTTGACTAGGCCAACATCAGTGGCAGCAGGCTACGTGTGTGAGAATGGGACAGATTTCAGCATTTCTTGGTGTCACATTTAATAGATAATAGCTTTAGCTGTTCCCAGAAGGGCCCCTTCTTCATGGAACCACAGCCTTTCCCTTTACAGGGAGCACAGTACACAGTCTTTGTGGGCTGGTCCAGTCCAGTTGAATTCCTACTGATCTCACAGAGTCTGTGGGTCAGACACACTTTAGTTACAGAGGTCTGAAGTGTAGTCTAATCTCTGCTAGCCTTGGATTCCTGACTGACAATTCAGCAAAGTGAACCCAGGCTACATATTTGCTGAAGGACACCAGCAGGCTCCCGCCCACACTGAGGTTTTTTACACAAAAACACACACACACACACACACACACACACACACACACAGTGTGTTCTCTCTATACATGCTGCAGTGCATGCAGTACAGTAGAGTGCAGGGCCTGTCATGCTGCGTGACATGTGCCCGAGGCTACAGCAGGAACCAGGAAGCTGGCTTCTCTCAGCGCGGAGACACGATGTGCTCTGTGATACTACCGACTACAGAGGGTAGAGGCACAGCTAACCAACATCACGAACTACACAGTCCCAGAGAGAAGGTAATGCAGTACGTCAACACAAAAATCAGTGTTGATCATCTCTATGGACGCTGGTAAAGACTAGAGGCTAGGGCTGGCACAACTTTCATATACAGTAATCGTGTAACCAACAATTATGGACAATAACCGTTAAAAATAAAAGATGATCATAATCGTCCTAATATATTCATTTTTAGATGAAGGGGGGATTCAATTTTATATTCAAGTACATCTACTTTACACAATAGTAGTTTTCAATTTTTACATGAATGGGGTAAAGTTGGTAATCATTTTTACATGAATGGGGTAAAGTTGGTAATCATTTTTACATGAATAGGGTAAGGTTGGTAATCATTTTTACATGAATAGGGTAAGGTTGGTAATCATTTTTACATGAATAGGGTAAGGTTGGTAATCATTTTTACATGAATAGGGTAAGGTTGGTAATCATTTTTACATGAATAGGGTAAAGTTGGTAATAATTTTTACATGAATGGGGTAAAGTTGGTAATAATTTTTACATGAATAGGGTAAAGTTGGTAATAATTTTTACATGAATAGGGTAAAGTTGGTAATAATTTTTACATGAATGGGGTAAAGTTGGTAATCATTTTTACATGAATGGGGTAAAGTTGGTAATCATTTTTACATGAATAGGGTAAGGTTGGTAATCATTTTTACATGAATGGGGTAAAGTTGGTAATCATTTTTACATGAATAGGGTAAAGTTGGTAATCATTTTTACATGAATGGTATCTGTGATACTAAGAGAGACAGACAGAGCACTCCACAGCATCGGACATGAACGGCATCTTTTCTTTATCCTCACTGATCTATCTTGTCTGTAACTGTTGGTCTGTATGCTTGATGTTAACTGTATGCGCAGAGCCGCAAACATTTCCCCATTAGTCATAATCTTATCAATTGAAAAACAAACCAGTGCCGAGAATATCCTTTAAAATAAAAAGGGGGGGGAGGAGGGGAATTGAAGTAAAATGTGGAAACCCCTGTTTTTCTCTGAACACAATTGAATGAGAATGAATGGCAGAACAGATGAGTTCTTTGCAAGGCTATTCTCTGAACAAAAAATAAAATAAAAAACATTTGCGTACAGCACATTTGGAAATTATTCAGACCCCTTCACTTTTTCCCCATTTTGTTATGTTACAGCCTTCTAAAATTGATTAACTCAAATGTTTTCCCTCAATCAACACACAATACCCCATAATGACAAAGCAAAAACAGGTTTTTAAAAAGTTTAGCAAATGTATTAAAAATAAAAAACTGAAAAACCTTATGTAAATAAGTATTCAGACACTTTGCTTTGAGACTCGAAATTGAGCTCAGGTGCATCCGGTTTCCATTCTACAACTTGATTGGAGTCCACCTGTAGTGAATTCAATTGATTGGACATGATTTGGAAAGGCACACACCTGTCTATATGAGGTCCCACAGTTGACAGTG